AAGATGGAAAGAAATTCCACAAATTAACTTTTAACAAGGCACACCTGTTAATTGAAATTCCAGGTGACTAACTCATGAAGATGGTTGAGAGAATGCCAAGTGTGCAAAGCTGTCAAAGGCAAAGGGTGGCTACTTTGAAGAATCTCAAATATATTTTGATTTGTTTAACACTTTTTTGCTTACTACATGATTCCATATGTGTTATTTCATAGTTTTGATGTCTTCACTATTATTCTACAATGTAGAAAATAGTACAAATAAAGAAAAACCCTGGAATGAGTAGGTGTGTCCAAACTTTTGACTGGTACTGTATGTATGTATGTATGCATGCATACACACACAACGTATTCAGATGCCTTATTCTAAAAATGATTACCGTAATTTTCGGACTATAAGCCGCGCCTTTTTTCCCATTTTTCGACCCCTGCGGCTTATATAACGGTGCGGCTAATCTATGGATTTTTACAGCTAACGGCCACTAGAAGACCTCCTAAATCTATGGATTTTACAGGTTACAGTCCACCAACTTTAACTCTATGGGCTCTATGACCGGTCCGCGCCCCCCACCTTTAAGCGGCGGGCTCCAGCAGGAAAAGCTGGAGGCTGGAAAAGAGTGAGACAGGTAGCGCGCAAAAGTAAAAGTGGAACCGAGAGTGGTACGAGAGACAGAACGAGAGCAAGACAGACAGACATTACGAGAGCGAGACAGTTTGTGCAAAGGAAGTTTTCATGCACAAACCCTCATTATGGAAAACAAACGTAGAAATGCATATGATGCAGCTTTTAAGTTAAAGGCAGTCAATCTGGCTGTAAAAGAAGGAAATAGAGCTGCTGCACGTAGCCTTGGCATCAATGAGTCAATGGTGAGACGTTGGAGACGCCAGCGGGAAGAACTGTCTCAATGCAAAAAGTCAAAAAAAGCTTTCAGAGGTAATAAAAGCAGATGGCCCGAACTTGAAGACTTTCTTGAAGATTGGGTGAACACACAGAGAGCAGACGGCCGAGGTGTTTCCACCGTGCAGATCCGACTGAAAGCTGAAACAGTCGCCACCGAAATGAAAATTGAAAATTTTAGAGGTGGACCATCCTGGTGTTTCAGATTTATGAGACGAAAGGGACTCTCCATCAGGGCACGGACGACTGTGTGTCAGCAACTCCCTCCCGACTACCAGGAAAAAATAACAAACTTCGGCGAATTCACACAAAGAATGATAGAGGAATATTCCATCGGACCGGACCAGATCATAAATATGGATGAAGTGCCTTTGACGTTTGACCTGCCTCTCACTAGGACTGTTAACAAGAAAGGTGAATCGTCCATCACGTTGAGAACCACTGGCCACGAGAGAACGAATTTCACTTGTGTTCTTGGCTGCACAGCATCTGGATTAAAGCTTCCGCCAATGGTGATTTTTAAGCGGATTACAATGCCAAAAGAAAAGATCCTGAACGGCATCTCCTTTAAAGTCAACAAGAAAGGGTGGATGATGGAAAGCGTAATGAATGAGTGGCTGAATGAGTGCTACGTCAAGCGCCCTGGAGGATTCTTTCGCCAAAAAAAAGCTTTGCTCGTTTTGGACAGCATGAGGGCCCATATAACGGATTATGTGAAAGCAGCCATCAAGAGCACAAACTCGATTCCAGCTGTGATTCCTGGGGGCACAACGAAGCATCTGCAGCCACTCGACATCAGTGTCAATCGTGCGTTCAAAGTGGCACTACGCGTTCAGTGGGAGGCGTGGATGACTAGCGGCGATAAATCATTCACCAAAACTGGTCGCATGCGAAAAGCAACTTTCGCTCAAGTTTGCGAGTGGATCCTGATAGCGTGGAGGAGTGTCAAAACATCCACGATCATTAACGGGTTCCGAAAGGCTGGACTGCTGCGTGATGAAGAGGAGGACGCCGCCACAGCTGAGGCCCTTCAGAGTCTGTTCGATTCCGACAGTGACGAAGAGGAGTTCGTTGGTTTTGAGAGCGTCAACGAAGGAGAGAGGAGAGTGGCTGACGAAGCCACCCTGAGCCTGTTCGTTTCCGACACTGAAGATGAGGACTTTGGTGGTTTTAGTACGCAGGAAGAAGACGGAGATGAGGATTAATGACTTGACTTTTCTGGTTACAGCCGTGTACTGCACCTTAGCCTAAAAGATGAAGACGAGGATTAATGACTTTTCTGGTAGGCTGATTACCGTATATTTTAAGCAGCCGTGTTGCTGCAACTTTAGGTTTACGCGCTTACTGTCGTGTTACAGGCACTTTATTTTGCACTTTAAAAAAAACACATTTAATTTAGCCATTGATATTGCCTCGTCAAGCGCTGTAAGCTTAGTTTTTTGTTATGGTACTACTGTAGGCTGTAATGTAGATAAATATTCAAAGATGAGCACACTTTTTCAAGGTTTTTCAAAAATAACCAAAGTTAAGTGGTTAAATGATTGTGACGCTATTAACTAATTTTGCTGGAATACGTTATGCAAATATGCAACTTGTTTGTTGAAATGTTAATAAATGGGAGCTTCCTCAAGCAGCCATCTCTTTCCCGACAATCCCCTCTGTGCACGAACCCTTACATATGGTAATTAAACATTAAAACACCTGCGGCTTATAGTCCAGTGCGGCTTATATATGTACACATCATTCAATATCATTCAATTTAGCTGATGCGGCTTATACTCCGGTGCGCCTTATAGTGCGGAAAATACGGTAAATTGTTTTTTTCCCTCAATCTACACACAATACCCCATAATTACAAAGCAAAAACAGTTTTTTTTGTAATGTTTGCAAATGTATTAAATATAAAATAAGTATTTACATTTACATAAGTATTCATACCCTATACTCAGTACTTTGTTGAAGCACCTTTGGCAGCGATTACAGCCTTGAGGCTTCTTGGGTATTACACTACAAGTTTGGTACACCTTTATTTGTGGGAGTTTTTCACATTCTTCTCTGCAGATCCTCTCAAGCTCTGTCAGGTTCGATGCCAAGCGTCGCTGCACAGCTATTTTCAGGTCTCTCCAGAGATGTTCGATCAGGTTAAAGTCCGGGCTCTGGCTGGGCCACTCAAGGACATTCAGAGACTTGTCCCGAAGCCACTCCTGCATTGTCCTGGCTGTGTGTTTAGGGTCGTTGTCCTATTGGAAGTCTGAGGTCCTGAGCGCTCTGGAGCAGGTTTTCATCAAGGATCTCTCTGTACTTTGCTCCGTTACATCTTTCCCTTGATCCTAACTAGTCTCCCAGTCCCTGCCGCTGAAAAACATACCCACAGCATGATGCGGCTACCACCATGCTTCACCGTAGGGATGGTGCCAGGTTTCCTCCAGACGTGACATTTGGCATTCAGGCCAAAGATTACACTCTTGGCTTCATCAGACCAGATAATCTTGTTTCTCATGGTCTGAGAGTCCTTTAGGTGCCTTTTGGCAAACTCCAAGCGGGCTGTCATGTGTCTTTTACTGAGGAGTGGCTTCCATCTGGCCACTCTACCATAAAGGCCTGATTAGTGGAGTGCTGCAGAGATGGTTGTCCTTCTGGAAGGTTCTCCCATCTCCACAGAGGAACTCTGGATCTCTGTCAGTGACCATTGGGTTCTTGGTTACCACCCTGACCAAGGCCCTTCTCCCCCAATTGCTCAGTTTGGCCGGCGGCCAGCTCTAGGAAGAGTATTGGTGCAGAAATGTTTTGGTACACTTCCCCAGATCTGTGCCTCGACACAATCCTGTCTCGGAGCTCTACGGACAATTCCTTCGACCTCATGGCTTTTGCTCTGACATGCACTGTCAACTGTGGGACCTTATATAGACAGGTGTGTGCCTTTCCAAATCATGTCCAATCAATTGAATTTACCACAGGTGGACTCCAATCAAATTGTAGAAACGTCTCAAGGATGATCAATGGAAACAGGATGCAACTGAGCTCAATTTCAAGTCTCATAACAAAGGGTCTGAATGCTTATGTAAATAAGGTATCTGTTGTTTTTTTTTGAATTTTACAAAAATGTCTAAAAACCTGTTTTCACTTTGTCATTATGGGGTATTGTGTGTTGATTGATGAGGGGGAAAAATTATTTAATAAATTTTAGAATAAGGCTGTAACGTAACAAAATGTGGAAAAAGTCAAGGGGTCTGAATACTTTCCGAATGCACTGTATATTACTGCTTGACTAAAACAAATCTCGGTCGACCAACAGCCTAACGACCAAACAATCGACTAATTGCGGTCAGCCCTATTGTGAGTGAAGACCATTTTAATCCAGACAACTTGACACAATCTGTGTCATACACACACACAGACACAGACAAGCATGGACACAGGCTCACACACGGTGGAATAATTACCTTGGTGAGGGCCTGGCTGATGTACAGTAGGGCTGGGGTGGTGACAGGGTGGCGGAAGTCTGAGGTGGGGAACAGCAATGCTGTTATCTTCAGGTAAATGAGCTGAGAAAGGAAAGAGAGAAGTAGAGAGAGGTAGAAAGAGAGACAGCGAGAGAGAGACGTCACCAACACGTCAACTTGACAGAACACTGTCAGAGAGAACAAACCAATTTACACAGACAAGCCTGGTGCTCACTGTTAGGGCTAGGAATCGCCAGGGACCTCACGATACGATATTATCCCGATACTTAGGTGCTGATATGATATGTATTGCCATTCTCACTATTCTATATGTACTCACTATATGTCTGCTGCAGAGAGACGAGAGAGCATGAGAAAATTAGTTTTGTTGGCTCACTATTTAAAAAGGATGGAGAACAAGCTATAGGATGAAAAATACAGGCGTTTTGGCGCAGGTACAGCCGAATAGCACTAGCAAATAATGAAATTAAAATTGGAGTCAAGTATCGATATAATAACGTTTATTTTATAAAAAAGCGATATGTAACTGTATCGATTCTCCCCCACATCACTTCTCACTGTCAGAGAACAAATGGAACAGAATCAGATGTCAGACGGGTATTTCCCTGGCTTTTTTCCTGACTTGACATGTAGTGCAGTGTTTCATGCAGAAAAAGATAGCAGTCCATGACAATAATGTAACACAGAGAGGTAGGAAGCAAAACCATTTGAGAGGAAAGTCAAAAGTACCATGTCTAGTTGTGGGAAGGCGGCCCGACCCTTGACCTCCAGTACCTCCTCCATGCTGTGTGCGTTGTTAACCAGGGTCGTCTGCATCGCCTTGGAAGCAGCTTCAGGGAACAGCTGACATAGACCATACAGCTGCCTGGGGAGCAGTAGGGAGAGACAGAACAAACCAGGACTATCACAATCAATACACCTGGCACAGTCAAATCCTATAGCATATCAAAACTAGAGAGCTGAGGAGAGTTACTCACGGTATCAGTTTGTCTATTGTGGAAAGTTCCGGTGGACTCCTGGTAGCCAACTCGCCCACATACTCCAGCAGAAAGCCAAATAATTTCTGAACGAGAAAGTGAGAAATCCACAGCAGTTGAACCAAATAACTATTTTGATCCCTAGCAAAACATTTGCATATCTGTTAACAATTCCATCTTGTGATTCAGGCTGAACTCTACTGACTTGTAGTTTGAGTTTGTTCCCCACAGCCAGACTGGGATGGTTACACTTCTGTGTCCTGGCCAGGATGATACACTGGTGGTCAGCAGGATGACCCTGCAGCAGGCCCTTCAGGTCACTGTAGCTCTCTGGAGCTGGGAGGAGGAGAGGAAAGGGGGAGAGAAGAACATTGAACATATGTGGAGAAGGCAGACAAGACAGTGGTGTTGTGTCAGGGCATGACCACTAGGGGAGTCATGTTTTGTTTTGCTAGATGACTCAAGAGAGAAGTCAATATTAGCTTTCAACTGAAACATAACTCATTTTAGATCAACCCTCCAATTATTTTTCATATATACCAATATATTCCAAAGCTATCAACTACAGAAAATGATGTCCAGTTCGTTATCTTATTATAGATAGATCATATAAAACTGGGGTCTTACCTTTGAAAGTATATGGTAGTTCTGCTTTAGCTGCCTCTGCTTCGGCCTTCCTCTCCTCCTCACTCAGCTGAGATTTGATTGCAGGCGCTTCATCCTTCTCCTCCTCTCCTCCCTCACTCTCCTGCTCAGAGTCCAGGTCTGAGTGGCTATCCTCCTCGTCACTGCCCTCCTCTTCCTCCTCTCCATCAGATTCCTCCTCCTCACCACTCTCTCCTTCTTCACCACCCTCCTCCTCGTCATCCCCCTCTATCTTTGCCCCTTCCTCGTTTATGTTCCATTTCCCATCCTATAGAGAGAGAATGGGAAAAATAGGAATTTGTTATCGGTTGATCTTTCAGTGAATGCCTGTAAATTTGACTGTCACATAAACTCCCCTATGTATTTATTTGGACAGTGAAGCGTAAATATTTAATTTGGCTCTACACTCCAGCATTTTGGATTTGAGATCAAATGTGTCATATGAGGCGACAGTAAGAATGTCACCTTTTATTTGAGGGTATTTTCATATATTTCTGTTTTACCGTTTAGAAATTAAAGCACTATGCATCTAGTCCCCCCATATGAAGGTGTCATAGGTATTTGGACAAATTCACTTATATGTGTACTAAAGTAGACAAGTGTAGTATTTGGTCCCATATTCCTAGCACGCAATGACTACATCAAGCCTGTGACTCTAGAAACTTGTTGGATGCATTTGCAGTTTGTTTTGGTCATGTTTCAGATTATGTTGTGTCCAATAGAAATGAATACTAAAAAACAAAAACACATTTATGCCTCTAACTTTATCACTCATCATTATTCACGATTCATTCATGATTATCCGTAATCATGGTAGCATCCACATTAATGTAGAAGTATTCAGAAACATATATTCTTATTTACAATAAAAGTGACTCCAAAATGACAAAACACTATTTACCATTCATAACTATTGGACACAACATAATCTGAAACAACCAAAACAAACTGCAAATGCATCCAACAAGTTTGTAGTCATTGGACCAAATACTATACTTTTTACTATTTTAATACACATAAGTGAATTTGTCCAAATACCTATGACACCTTCAAATGGAGGGGACTAGATACATAAAGTGCTTTCATTTCTAAACAGTAAAACAGATATGTGAAAATACCCTCAAATAAAAGGTGACATTCTGTACTGTCGCCTAATATGAAACATTTGATCCGAAATAAAAAATGCTGGAGTATAGATCTAAATTAAACGTTTTAGCATCACTATCCAAATAAATGTGTGTGCTCCTTCCTACAACTTCCTTCCATTGAGAGAGTAGAGATGATGCGATGTCGTAACTCCAAGACACAATGTCAAATCATAACCCACACACATTCATAGACATAGCCTCTCTCACCTGAAAGGACAGCGTCTGCTTGGTCCATTATCTTACAGGCCAGAGTCTGCTTGGTCCCTTACCTGATAGGCCAGAGTCTGTTTGTCGTCTCCGTCCAGGATGAAGCCGTCGTTGAGGTCGTCAGCTGACATGTGAGCCTGGGTCTTGGTGCTGTCTTCTACTACATCTCCCATCATCCTCCTCAGCCTGTCAGCCTGGGGCAAGTGTCAAACCACAGACAGGAAAAAGCTTCAGTACAGTAGACGGGTCAAACCACACACACAGAGGGACAAACTCTGCCTGTGTATCAATAGTTTTCACTTCCTTCCCTTTCTCAAGTCCTTATCTCTATGATTACTGCCTGAAAGGTCAGGTGAAAGCAGACCCATTACCCATCAATGGTCATAAAGAAAAAATGACAAGAAAATGGAGCCATTTTAGAGTGTTGAGACACATCCATACCTCTAGTTTCTGCAGGCGTTCCCTTTCCTCCCTGGCCACTTCCTCTGGAGTCTTCATCTTCTCAGACGGTTGAGCCTTCATCTCAAACCCCAGCTCTCGCACCATCATGTCATACTCATCCAGCTGGAACATACAGGGGAAGAGACAAAGATGAGATACAGGGGATTTTCCTTGGGGCACAATCATTTTACTTATCCAGGTTCTCTCACTGAGATAAGGTCTCTGGAAACCTTTTAATTTAATCTTAATGTATACAGGTTAGACTCAATGAGATAAAAATCTATTTTGCATGAGGGACCTGTTTGACTTAGTGGATAAACATTAAAAAGTTCCATTGGAAGCATTTCCTGTTCTTTCACCTTGGGTTTGTCCTCCTCCTCTTGTCTGTCAGCCTTGGGGGCATTCTTGTGAGCCAGCAGCCCCTGGATGCTTTTCCAGTCCTGGTCCAGCTTCTCTGTCAGCACCTGGGACTCCTCCTTCTGGTTCTGCCTCTCCCTCTGAGGACAACCAACAGACCTGTCAGTCATCTGATCTCACCTCAAAGACACCTGTAGAGCTCTGCTAATACTAGAAAAGTGAGTCAAATATCTGGTGGACCACACTATACAACCAAGTCAAGACAAAGGGTATTAAACCGTTCCTAAAAGGAAGAAACTGCAGCACACTGATTATCTTGGATGCTCCCCAAACAATTGAATAGACCTCACACCAACGTTTCAGTGAATAAACCTTAATACCATTCCTAATAGTGTCTAAGACATTAAGGCACATCCTAGAATGAGAAGAGAGGGATTGACGCTCACCTTATCTTGTTTAGACTTGAGGATGAGCTCCTCTATGAGTTCCTGTCTGGACTTGGCTCTCTGGTTCCCCCCGTTATCCTTCTCCCCTTGGGTCTTCCTCCTCAGCAGGCCGCCTCCTCCGAAGTGGGATGCAGTCAGCTCAGCTGGAGGAAAGATGGATGAGAAAATATTGTCATTGTTATGGTCCCTACTTCAGCAGATGTCACCAATAGTGATGCCTCATTTTTTTACAGACACAAATACTTAGCCAATGTACATGTTTCTGTTATTTTTCTCCACCACCCATTTCGCTCGCTTTCCCTCCCTCTGGTCTACAGCTTCCCCCAATTCTGTGGAGCTTGGGAGTCATTTTGTCTTACCTGAGAGCATTCCTTTCTCATCTGCCTCATCGTCACTGTCTACCATGTCGTTGAGCTTCTCCATCTCAGACAGAGACTGGCCATAGTGGGTCAACTCCTCCTCCTCATTTAGGTTATACATGTCCTTCTTGTCTTGGGTACGCTAAAGGGGGACAACATCAAGAGAGGACAACGTTAAGTTATGGACTGATGTACATCTTTATACAATACACATGTATTTGTCCAAATGATACATTGGAAATTAGTCTTCTCCTCTGCTCTCAACCCCCACATAACACACAGATTTGAGAGGAGCACAGGGTCAGACGAAGTGCAGCTCCCCAGGAGCTAGTTTTATGATTCATTTTATATTGGACATGGTGGAAATGGGCACTGCAGGGCTGGGGTGGGCAAACTTTTTGGCTCAAGGGCCACATCGGGATTTCGAAATTTAACAAAAAGAACGCACAGATTTGTTTTAAATGTGTCCAATTTGCAGGCCAGAAAAAGGGCAGTTATTTGAACATATATAAGTCCATTATAGTTTCTACATTTTTAGGGGTTTTACTTTTCTTTGAACAGGGCGTCCCATTGAGACCAATGTCTCTTTTGCAAGGGAGCCCGGCTCCTTATACTTTATCTAGTTTTAGACATTCAAGTGTGGCCTGGAGTGGTTTTTTTTATAAAACAAAATAATATCTTTAAAAAAGAAGACGCGGCCCACAGACCTTAGTGTGCCCAACCTTGTAGAAGGTGTTTAATGCAGTGACAGTGGAGAGAACAGAGATACTGTATGTCTGTCAGTATTGGATCTCACCTGTCTCTCCATCGAAAACCTCTGAAGGATTTTCTCCTCTGGGTCCATCTTGGTGTCATATTCACCAAACCGTCTGTCTATGAACTTATTGGCCTTGTCCTTTGTCTTGTATTCCTTCAGCAGGGTCTCTTTTCGCTGGGGGAAGAAAGGAATATTTTGTAAGCATAAGATCCACACTGGCACAATAATAAATAGAATCAAAGAAACATGGTAACACAAGTTGCAAACTGCTCTAGCTGTAATTTGCGATATTGCAAAGCTCACAGTCGAAACAGTTCACGCATATATTATGATGACATTTTGTGACGTTTTTGTTCGTTTTGGTCTTCTGCAGGTTTTTTTCCGGCTGTTCGTGTACACTACATTTTTTCTTGAGGCAAGTCGAAGTAAGGTAGCCAAAGTCTACTCCTAGTAGGAGTGGGAACTATGGACGGATTTCAAGTGTTGTCATTCATCGAGTGAAGACAAGTTTACATGCGCATTTCTCCCTTGAGAAATACTGCAGGGTAATTCCGCGGTTACGGAATGTATGCCAAACAAAAACCATTGATTTCTAAGTTTAACAAACCATACAACTCTATGCACAAGGACTACTTTGAACAATTTGGCAACATTTTCCAAAAACGCTGTTAAATATCTGCTCCAAATTAAGATTTAAAGATTGGGGTGTGAGCTATGACAGGGTTTCCCAAACTCAGTCCTGGGCCCCCCCCCCGGGTGCAAGTTTTGATTTTTGCCCTAGCACTACACAGCTGATTCAAATAACCAACTCATTATCAAGCTTTGATTATTTGAATCAGCTATGTAATGCTAGGGCAAAAAACTAAAAGTGCACCCAGGAGGGGCCCCAGGACCGAGTTTGGGAAACCCTGAGCTATGACATGGCAAATATATTTTGTTTATTGAACTACAGTAAGTGAAGTGGATTTACACCCGGTAACGGAATGACATCATTGGTCCCTGAGCTGTACTACAGAGAAATGTTTCACAGGTTTGGACAGCGCAGTTCAGTATCGCACAACAGAGTAGTATAGAGTAGAGCTCAGTAAAGTGCAGTACAGTACAACGTATGTTTCACAAGTTTGGATAGCACAGCAGAGTAGACTACAATGCAGTACAATGTACTGTACTCGACTTTTCTGTACTGTATTCTACTGTACTGCATTGTACTGTACTCTACTCTGCTGTGCTCCCTAAACTTTTGAAACATACGTCTATGATAGGTTCAGATTTGGTCCAGGCCATCTGTGTATGGTACTTGCCTAAAGAGCAGCAAGAGAAACTGCCCCTCCCTACCTTCAGGCTATGCTCAAACCCTACACCCCCAACCCGAACACGCCGTTCTGCCACCTCTGGTCTCTTGGCCCTCCCACCCCTACAGGAGGTCAGCTCCGGCTCAGCCCAGTCCAAGCTCTTCTCTGTCCTGGCACCCCAACGGTGGAACATGCTTCCCCCTGAAGCTAGGACAGCAGAGTCCCTGCCCATCTTCCGAAAACATCTGAAACCCTACCTCTTCAAAGAATATCTTAAATAATCCCGCACCCCCCTCCTCACCGCACATTTTGTGAAACAACATGCGCACTTGACTTTTTTTCCCTTACTAGCTCTGACTTTGCTGATAGATACTTTGAGGAAAAATGTACTTACTATGACTGTGATATGTGGTTGTCCCAACTAGCTACAGTATCTTATGATGAATGCACTAACTGTAAGTCACTCTGGATAAGAGTGTGTGCTAAATAACTAAGATTTAAAATGTTTTACGCTAGCTAATGTAAATGGCTATAGCTAGCTAAAAATTGACGTGGCTAGCTAGCTAATTTATCCAGTTTGTCCCACTGACTTTGTATGAGCTCCAGTTAGCATGATAACTGATTAGCATGCTCCCATCCATGGATATTTACACAGTATGTATGTATGTATTAACATATCATGATCATATATTGTAGTGAAAAAAACATTTGAGACGTGAATGTCCAACATTTCACTCAAAAACGGTTGCCATGTTTTCCTAAATATTTTAGAATGGCAGACTGATCACATGACCAATGTCTGTGCACTGATTGAACGATTTCTAAAAATGGCCCAATAGGTGGCACTGCCCATAGAAATAAGAATGAATAGAACGGGCTTGGAACCTCTAACCCTGGCAATTTGATTGGTAAACTCATGGGTCCACTCACAATGGCTGCCTGGTATTGTGATGTAATAATTTCCATGATAATGTAGAATGTTCATTCAAATGATGCTAACTCATGTGGCTCATGCAATGGAATGCATTTTTTTGTAATGTTATTTGAGTAGATTCAACAAAACAAATCCTGCTTTTACTTCCTGCTTTGCTCCTATTGGTACACTCGCAATGTCTGCCAGTCCACCCATTATGCCATAATTTGCTTGAATGGGGACGCCCGTTTTATTGATTCTTATTTCTATGGCGCTGCCGATCAAAATTCCTCAGATAATAAAAAGTTGCTCATTTTCAGAGGTGTGGACTCGAGTCACAAATTTGATGACTTGACAGTCGACTTCATAGAAAATAAAAGAACTTAACTTGAGACTCGACTTCGAGCCTCAAGACTCGGCACTCGACTTTGACTTGAGACTGATGACTTGAAATTATCTGGCCAGGTTGTAACATTTTGTCACTCATTTTGAAGCACAGCGTCTCCGTGGATTAGGCTACTCTCCATGCAGCCAGAGACAGTATGGGACTTACAATTTTTTTTTTATTGGCTAGTGAAACGCATACTCGGCCCTCTGATTGGACCAGCAAACTGTCAATGAACACAGGTCGGGTGAGCTAGCGCAGTAAGAAGGTTTTGTGGGGGGTCACGAGTGTGAAACTGAAAAATAAATATTTTAATAGGCGGCATATAGCCTACCATTTGTATTTTATATGTATTCCTTTGCTTATTCGATCTGGTCACTAACATAAGCGTCGGGTATTGCACCAAATTCTTGTTTAAAAAACATCTGTGCTTCAGAACCAAAAAGTTGGGCATCTTGACTGTGACCAATGACCAGTCATCAGCATTGGCGTGCAAAGGCGGGCTCACATATCCAGATTAGTGACCAGAAAGCAAGCACTTGTTTAATTTTCCCTTTGCTAGGTGATTTCATTGATCATTTTCATATTTCAGATAGGCCTAGTTTGGGTGGGTTTATAATTATGTACCTCAGTGTTGGTACTGGGGTATATGTGGTCCTCTGTAGCTCAGATGGTAGAGCACGGCGCTTGTAACGCCAAGGTAGTGGGTTCGATCCCCGGGACCACCCATACACAAAAATGTATGCACGCATGACTGTAAGTCGCTTTGGATAAAAGCGTCTGCTAAATGGCATATTATTATTATTTATTATTATTATATGTCTAAAGATAGCTGTAACATCTTATCGGATGAAGATGTAACATTCTGGCTAATTAATTACGATATTTGTGAGGAAGAAAAAGGCTACAGACAGATCATGCTTTCCATCCGATCCTGCAACCCCCACTGCATACAGGTAGGCCTATGATCCTTCTTTCTCTGGACTCCAGTGAATGTGACATGGTATCCCTAGTTGATATTGACTGCTAACATTAATGACTTTCAGCTCAAAACGCTGTTTATTTCTGTTTCTTGCGTTTTTAAAACGCATCACTGTTTATGGCTGTAATGACAGGCTACACTTGCACAGTGATTGTGCGCACGCGTATGTGCGTGCGCGGGGGTTGCAAGCTTTGAACCACTCCTTTTTGGGGGTCGTGGGTCAAAACACACCAAAACAGTCATGTAGAGGGCACGACAAAGCCTATTCCCCCTCAGGAGACTGAAAAGATTTGACATGGGTCCTCAGGTTCTACAGCTGCACCATCGAGAGCATCCTGACTGGTTGCATCACTGCTTGGTATAGCAACTGCTCAGCCTCCGATCGCAAGGCACTACAGAGGGCAGTGCGTACGGCCCAGTACATCACTGGGGCCAAGCTTCCTGCCACCCAGGACCTCTATACCAGGCGGTGTCAGAGGAAGGCCCTAAAAATTGTCAAGGACTCCAACCACCCTAGTCATAGACTGTTCTCTCTGCTACTGCACGGCAAGCAGTACCGGAGCGACAAGTCTAGGTCCAAAAGGCTTCTTAACAGCTTCTACCCCCCCCCCCCCCCCCCCCCCCCCCAAGACATAAGACTCCTGAACAGCTAATCAAATGGCTACCCAGACTATATGCATTGTTCCTCCCCCTCTTTTACCCTGCTGCTACTCTGTTTATTATTTATGCATAGTCACTTTTACTATACCTACATGTACATATTACCTCAACTAACCTGTGCCCACGCACATTTACTCTGTACCTGTATTTTTCTGTTGCTCTTTAATAATTTGTAATTTTTATTTTTTACTTAACTATTTTTTACTTAACACGTATTTTTCTTTAAACTGCATTGTTGGTTAAGGGCTTGTCAGATAGAACCTTATAGTCCCACGGTCTTGATTTGTAGTTGAAGAAGTCATTGCATGTAGATTTTTTTTTTTTTAAACCTGACGTGAGTCAATTGAAAACTTGTGACAGTACTTGCTCTAATGCTGCATTAAAAACTACTGGGAACTCCGGGAAAAAACGAGCTTGGACAGGTAAAAACTGATTGGTCACCCACCTCGGAATTCTAACTGGGGAACTCGGTCCACTTTCTAGAGCTCCGACTTTCTGACCTGAAGATCACTGTCGTCATGATTTTACCTCGTATTTTTCCAAGTTCCCAGTCGTTTTGAAAGCGGCATTAGAATGCACGAATTGGACTCGAGACGTTCTACTTGGGATCGACTTGAGACTCGGACCTTGGTCCCACCTCTGATCATTTTCAATCAAAAAAAATTGCGGCAAACATTGCTGGCAAGACGCTCGCTTCGCCTAGCCGAGTTCTGCTAGGAGCAAACCGAACCTAGTCTGCGGGCGTCTTTAGGATCCATCTAGCCTGGTCCCAGATCTGTTTGTGCTGGTTTGTTAACTATGGTCAACTTATATGGACAACGACCATAGAAGTTGGTAAGTCAGCACAAATCTGAAACCAGGCTAGATACTGTGTATGCATCTCAGCATCTGTTATCTTCAAAGAACCCAATGTACACACACTACTTCATTACAACCACTTACCTTGTTGATGGCTTTAGATCTGGATACTCCTGGCAGACCGACGTCGTGCTTGCTCTTTCGCCCGAGAATGTCAAACTTCTTCCGGTTGATTTTCACCTCGAACGGGTTGTTTTTTATCTCGGTGGAAGTTTTGGTCTTGCGAACCTTATCAGCAAGGTTCTTCTTTTTTGGCGGTTTCCCCATCTAGACAAAATACGTAGCTAGGTGAATGTAAAATATGGATGACAACCTCCTCGCTAATATAACAACCATGTAAAGAAAGTATTGCATAGCTTGTGTGATAACTGGCTAGCTAGCTAACGTTAGATAACGTCGCCTAGCTAGCAAACATTGGACACGTTCTCAAGGCAAACATCATAAACTGTAATGGCATAACGTTACCTTATAGATTTGATATAGTGTTGGAAGCAATATTGTTAAAGCGTTCAGGTCTTTTGAAGTTAAAATATAACGTTAAATCATCTATTTTGCAATATCCACGTTGTTCCACTGCAGACATAAAGCGTGCCAGCACGAGGTCAAAGTTCATCACATGAGGCTACTTTTCGTCAGTTGACATGCAAGTAATATTCTGCAGCGCCGCCCTCTGGTAAAACCTCAGCAATGCACTTACAGGAAAACTAAAAAAGGATGAGATTTGAAATAGGTTCTGGCAAAGACATATAGCCAGTGGCCACCCGTCAGAGCCCCACCTGTGTCTGTTTTGCATGTTATTTTGGCTTTAATACGTGTCACATATCAGTTTGCAAGCAATGTAAAAAAACAACAACAACAACAGATAAACAAATATTTGAGTTAATAAAGACACATACAAACATGGTCTCTTCTTTGCTTTCTTGAGTAAGGCAGCTCCAAAATGCAGGTGATTCAGCCTAGCTCAGTGCTTTCTTTGGTGGTGGGGAAGCCAGTGGAAAATACGGAGTGTAGCGGTTGGTAATGTTCTCTAGTTGCGACGTGATTGTCTCAGTGTTCTGTCACTCATGGGGACACTACACTACCGGTCAAAAGTTTTAGAACACCTACTCATTCAAGGGTTTTTCTTTATTTTTACTATTTTCTGCATTGTAGAATAATAGTGAAGACATCAAAACTATACAATAACACATGGAATCATGTAGTAAACAAAAACGTGTTAAACAAATCAAAATATATGTTATATTTGAGATTCTTCAAACAGCCACCCTTTGCCATGATGACAGCTTTGCACACTCTTGGCATTCTCTCAACCAGCTTCAGTCATCTGGAATGCATTTCAATTAACAGGTGTGCCTTCTTAAAACTTAATTTGTGGAATTTCTTTCCTTCTTAATGCATTTGAGCCAATCAGTTGTGTTGTGACAATGTAGAAAACAGTAAAAATAAAGAAAAACCTTTGAATGAGTAGGTGTTCTAATACTTTTGACCGGTAGTGTACATGACCGCAAAATCTACAGGGAGAGCTAGAAAATTCAAGCCGCTTCAGTGCTGCCATAGAGTTACATTAGAAGAGCCCATCCAAGAAGGCTCAAAGTCATTGGCCATAGGTAAAATGACGCCAAATCATGTTATTTCTACCGTAGCGTTGATTAGACGGATCATGTCAACATTATACTTTCAAAGTCTTAGTTAGAAAACTAGCAGTCATCATCATGAATCAAGTCGACAATCTACTGGCAAATCCTTTTCAATCCTTGTCATATGAAGATAAATTATGAACATTTTAGTCATTTAGCAGACGCTCTTATCCAGAGCAATTAGGGTTAAGTGCCTTGCTCAAGGGCACATCGACAGATTTTTCACCTAGTCGGCTCGGGGATTAGAACCAGCGACCTTTCGGTTACTGGCACAACGCTCTTAACCACTAAGCTACCTGCCGCCCTTTCTTATAGAGAAACTATAGATAAAATGTATCAGTGCTCATCGGCCATTGGACATAAACATTACACAACAAGTTGGAAATCGTAAATTCAACAATGAGTGGGTTGGAAGGAATCAGTGGCTAACTACAAGCATTGCAAAGCAATCAATGGCCTGCTATTTAGTTTAGTGGGTGTGTGGTTCAAGTTTGGGTTTAAGGGTCTCTTTTCCAAGCTTAAAAGGATAACATTCAACATTGGCCATGCTGTCAATCCAGCATGACTTCTGCCGCATTGAAAACAACTGGAAACTCGGAACTGGGAAATCTCAGACTTCAGTGAGTTCAAGACAACTGGGAACTAGGAAAAAAACGAGCTCCGTCTAGGAAAATACGTTTTGAACGGTCATGCAACTCAGAATTCCAGGTCGGGAACTAGGGTCTCTTTCTAGAGCTCCGACCTGAAGATCACGGACGTCATGATTCGACCTTGCTTTTTCCAAGTTCCCAGTTGTCTTGAAAGCACCATAAATCAGGAGAATGCCAGACCTTGATGACAAAAATTGCCCACGAAGGACCGCAGCGGTATCTTCCTGTTCAGGTGAACACAGCAAATGTCTTGTTTGCTGCTGCATAAATGATGTAATATGCCAGGGAGATATGTCTACTGTAGCTAAGAAAGTAATAAGTATGTTGTGTAGTAAGCTGTTAGTAGCCCATGTGCCTCACCCTAATCATTTGGTCCCTTTCCCCCTCATACCTTAGCCTACTGTTCTGACTTGGTGGTGCACATGTAGCCTATAGCCTGTTTTAGAGAAATATCATCATTTAATATTGTAAGAGCTTTCATTGTCTGCTGATATGCCCCCTTTATCTATCCTACGGTTCTGACTTGGTGTACAGGGAGAATACTGTAAGAATAGCCCATGTTCTGAATTCTGTTGCTGTACATTTCAAAAGTGCTGAACAAATAGTTATATTGACTATGTCCGTCCTAGCTCGCTCATTAATGTCTTAATCGAAGTTACGGACTGCCTCCTAACCGCTCGTCGTCCCCTTATGCCATCGTTTGTACATCTCAATTGTCAGTGGAAACCACATTTGTTTAAACAAGTCAGCCATATCAGCTATGTTTTTTTTAAAGGCAGTAAATGAGGCTGAATGAACTGTTTCGCTGCCAGACAAGGCTCCGCTGATAGCCAGGTGTAGCAGTGGTAAGGTGTTGGGACTGCTGTTGGGACAGCTTTATGTAGGCCCTAACAGTTTATGGGCACTGTTTGTCACCGTTATAGTGCAATTAATGTATTGTTTAGTGTTGTGTTGTAGCATTGCTGGCATGCATAAAAAAAAAATTGGGGGGAGTTTGCCACACCAAGATTTACATGCTAAAATCGCCACTGCATACAGTGCCTTCGGAAAGTATTTTGACCCCTTGACTTATTCAATTTTTTGTTAGGTTACAGCCTGTTATGATGAGTTCCTTTGGTATCAAGTAAATCAGGATGCAATAATATACCTAAACAATTATATGGAGAGTTAATACAAAGTATTTAACTGATACGGTACCGGGGTTCGTTTAACAAATGGCACACGCTTTGCCTCTTGTGATCCGACCTCCTGAACAAAGGAAATCTCTCAGTTTATATACTTCATGTTACACGTTTCTTCAACAACATCTGTTAACCATCAGTGGGCACTCCCTTCTTTAATGTTATTACCTTGTACCCCAAGTCAGTATATTATATCTATCAATCATTCTAAGATAAACCCCAGTAAGCTCCCTCGACATACTGGAATCCTTGGTATTCAGACTCTGCAGCACCAAGAGTCACCTATCTAATTGATTTAACCTTGTTCCCACAACACTATGAAAAGACACAACACAGCCTTATTCTAAAATCGATTGAATAAATAAAAAATCCTCAGCAATCTACACACAATACCCCGTAATGACAAAGCGAAAACAGGTCTTTAGACCATATTTACATAAGTATTCAGACCCTTTGCTATGAGACTCAAAATTGAGCTCAGGTGCATCCTGTTTCCATTGAGATGTTTCTACAACTTGATTGGAGTCCACCTGTGGTAAATTCAATTGATTGGACATTATTTGGAAAGGCACACACCTGTCTATATAAGGTCACATAGTTGACAGTGCATGTCAGAGCAAAAACCAAGCCATGAGGTCGAAGGAATTGTCCGTAGAGCTCAGAGACAGGATTGTGTCGAGGCACAGATCTGGGGAAGGGTACCAAAACATTTCTGCAGCATGGAATGTCCCCAAGAACACAGTGGCCTCCATCATTCTTAAATGGAAAAAGTTTGGAACCACCAAAACCCTTCCTAGAGCTGGCCGCCCGGCCAAACTGAGCAATCGGGGGAGAAGGGCCTTGTTCAGGGAGGTGACCAAGAACCCGATGGTCACTCTTGACAGAGCTCCAGAGTTCCTCTGTGGAGATGGGAGAACCTTCCAGAAGGACAACCATCTCTGCAGCACTCCACCAATCAGGCCTTTATGGTAGAGTGGCCAGACGGCAGCCACTCCTCAGTAAAAGGCATATGACAGCCCGCTTGGAGGACTCTCAGACCATGAGAAACAAGATTCTCTGGTCTGATGAAACCAAGATTGAACTCTTTGGCCTGAATGCCAAGCGTCACGTCTTGAGGAAACCTGGCACCAATCCTACAGTGATGCATGGTGGTGGCAGCATCATGCTGTGGGGATTTTTTTCAGCGGCAGGGAAACCTGTTTTCGCTTTGTCATTATGGGGTATTGTGTGTAGATTACTGATTTTTAATTTAATTTATTTTAGAATAAGGCTGTAACGTAACAAAATGTAGAAAAAGTCAAGGGGTCTGAATAATTTCTGAAGGCACTGTATATCTATACTGAACATGACTGGGAATACAGAGATGCATCTGTTTATCATAGATACCTTAAATGAAAGGTAGGGGCATGGATCAGAAAACCAGTCAGTATCTGGTGTGACCACCATTTGCCTCATGCAGCATCTCCTTCGCATAGAGTTGGTCAGGCTGTTGATTGTGGCCTGTGGAATGTTGTCCCACTCCTCTTCAATGGCTGTGCGAAGTTGCTGGATATTGGCGGGAACTGGAACACGCTGTCGTACACGTTGATCCAGAGCATCCCAAACATGCTCAATGGGTGACATGTCTGGTGAGTATGCAGGCCATGGAAGAACTAGACACTTTTAGCTGCCAGGAATTGTGTAGAGATCCTTGCGACATGGTGCCGTGCATTATCATACTGAAACATGAGGTGATGGCGGCGGCTGAATGTCACAACAATTGGCCTCAGGATCTCGTCACGGTGTCTCTGTGCATTCAAATTGCCATCGACAAAATGCAATTGTGTTCGTTTTCCGTAGCTTATGCCTGCCCATACCATAACCCCACCATGGGGCACACTGTTCAGAACGTTGACATCAGCAAACCGCTAGCCCATACAACGCCATACACGTTGTCTGTGGTTGTGAGGCCGTATGGATGTACTGCCAAATTCTCTAAAATGACGTTGGAGGCGGCTTGTGGTAGAGAAATTAACATTAAATTATCTGGCAACAGCTCTGGTCGATATTCCTGCAGTCAGCATGCCAATTGCATACTCCCTCAAAACTTGAGACATCTGTGGCATTGTGTTGTGACAAAACTGCACATTTTAGTGGCCTTTTGTCCCCAGCACAAGGTGCACCTGTGTAATGATCATGCTGTTTAATCAGCTTCTTGTTATGACACACCTGTCAGTTGGATGGATTATTTTGGCAAAGGAGAAATGCTCACTAACAGGTATGTACAACATTTGAGAGAAATGTAGAAATAAGCATTTTTGTGCAAATGGAAGATTTCTGGGATCTTTTATTGCAGCTCTTGAAACATGGGACCAACACTTAACATGTTGCTTTCATATTTTTGTTCAGTGTAGTACTAATATCGTTGAGTAATCCAATAAGTATTGTTCTGCTGATTAAATGTCATCTCAAGTTTTACTAGTCTTAGCAAAAATGCGATGATAATTTGGAATTGATTGATTCGCGCATTAATTCAGATCATGGTTTTGAAGGAAGGATTTTTATTAATGGTTGAACAAAAATAAACAGTACCATGAAAAAAGAGATGGTAGTCTATAAATGGTATAATGACATTTGTGTAATAGGGGAATAGTTCAAAGAATACAAAATCAGCTAAGCTGCAAGTTTAAAACAATTCTAAGTGACTTCAGATGAAGAAATGACTAAGGACTTAGTGTTGTTATTAGCACAATAATAGCAAAGTAAACGGGAGTTACAGTCATAATGTAGAGACCGACAACAAACAATACAAGTTCAAAGCTTTAGTTTAATGCCATGCGGTCCTTCAGGTTCAGGGAACAGGCTAATGTCCTCAGCTTGCATCAATCATGTAATATACCAGGTTTATAGTAGCCTGGTCGTAGATCTGTTTGTGCCATCTTGCCAACTCATATGGTCCTTTATACCATTGGTAAGACAGCACAAACAGATCTGGGACCAGGCTAGGTTTTCATAGTCGTCTAAAACCAAGATTCACAGGCAAGTGGGATTCATTTATGACATTGGTCCGGTATCAATGCCCGTCTGCCTGACAACCTTTTTAAAAGCGAAGGTGTAAGATCGCTAGCCTTGTCCCAGATCTGTGCCGTTTCGCCAATTCCTATTGTCATTGTTTGGTGTGACAGCACAAATAGATCTGGGACCAGGCTGTAAGAGCGCACCAACAACTAGATCGATTACATTAACTCCATAGCGTCTTGAGTGCAACTAGAAATCGATATGTTTTCTTGAGACAGTTATTTCATTTCAGATGGGATTCACAGAGTAGTCCATTGCAGTGTGGTGACAGATCATGCATGCAGTGTTAAAATTGTGCGATGTGGCTTCAAAACAACTGTATTCCAACATTCCGTATATACATATCAGTAGCCTGAATCCAGACTGAATTGTTCTGTTTGACTTTCAGTTTGGATCCAGGCTGACCTACTGTTTCCTCTAAAAGCAATGGTTAAAAAAACAGAGCAGTCCAGGCCGTGGTATATTGAGGTTGGGGTGCATCAGTTCAGTGCTCTCACAGCAAGTTTTTGAATAACAAAATAAATTGACTATAGCTATATCATTAACTATACAAAATCAATTTGTATTCTCTGTCTTGTACTGTAGCTGTCTTTTGTCCTCTTATGTCCCGTTTGTTTGTGTCCTTCTTGTGATTGGAGTGATTAGGTTAGGAGGGAAGAACCAAAGCCAGCCAATGATACAGGATTATGAAACAAAACTTCCTCCCTACACATTCCTTCATGCCACATAGCGATACAGCCACATAGGCTCTACCTGTACACAGACAGGAGCAATACCAGCAGTCCTCCCTCTCACCAGGTGCCACCAAACTCTGGTTGATAGAGGAGGTACGTGAGTGACATAGAATGTCAAATTCAGATTAAGAGTTATGCTATTCTTGACATGATTTGAGTTCTCACGGGCCATAGGCCAGGAAAAACCTAACTTGGACCCAATTAGCACCGTGCAGTTTGTTTGTAGTTATACATTTTGAATCGGTTACCACCAGCTAAATGACAGAGAAAAGCTTTTTTTTTTTTGCATTCCCTGTTTTAAAAAAAAGACACTGATACAATCCCAAAACATTCTAGTGGTTAATCGGGTTTCAGTAACTATTATTTTTTAAACAAATAAAAGGAGAAAAAAAAATCCACTGCTCACTTCAAGTAGTGGGCCTACATAGACATAATGCATAACAAGCCACACAGCTGCACTGAACCAGACTGAATGCACACAGTCATTCACCACTGAAAGAGACTTATTAAAACTTCATAAGTGATTTTGACCCTTTTTATATAAAATTGGCACACACTAGGAGGAGCCCACAAAGTTATAATGCCAAACAAACAAATGATAAAAAGCATAAAAATCAAATGATGTGGGTTGTGGCTCGCTCTAGGGGAAGCGAAGGGTTACAAAGCGTGAGATGGGTGGGCAGGCGGGTGTCTCATCTAGGGTTCCTTTGCTTTATGTTCCTTTTCTTCAGTCTTCTTTTTGTTTTTCTTGAGGAAGGAGGGAGTGCGGAACTTCTTCTTCTTCTTGGAAGGTGATTTGCTGGGGGATTCGTCGCCGTCCTGTTCACCGTCATGGTCACAGGCGGCGGAAGCATCAGCAAGCTCCTCCCCCTCAGTGGCGGGCTGTTCGGTGGCGGCGGGAGCGGGGTCTTCGGCGGGGAGGGTGGGGGCTGGGGTGTCGGAGGGTTTGTCATCTGGGGTCAGGTCAGGGAGGGTCTGTCTCAGTGTAGGCTGGTCACTCTCATCCTTATAGGTGTGCTCCGGCTGGGACTCTGTGAGGGGGGGGGAGCAGAGGGGGGAGAGCAGGGTAAGATCTAATTAGACAATCAGACAACATGCTCCCCAAATACAGGTGTGCCAGGCTTGTAGCGTCATACCCAAGAAGACTCTAAGCTGTAATCGCTGCCAAAGGTGCTTCAACAAAGTACTGAGTAAAGGTTCTGAATACTTATGTAAATGTGATATTTCAGTTTTATATTTAATACATTTGCTAACATTTCTAAAAACCTGTTTTTGCTTTGTCATTATGGGGTATTGTGTGTAGATTAATGAGGGGAAAAAACGATTTAATCCATTTTAGAATAAGGCTGTAACGTAACAAAATGTGGAAAAAGTGAAGGTGTCTGAATACTTTCCGAATGCACTGTTTCATGTATTGTATTCATGGGAATTCTAATGCAGGAACTTATGATTTCATTTGTTTTAAAATAAGATGTTCCCATGTAAGACTCAAAGGTCTTCACAATAGGTCAACTCTGGGAAGGAAGAGATTACCTAAAAAGAGATTTGTTGCTGGGTCTATCTCAGATCTCTCCACTGTCGTTGGCTTGGACCATAGACTGTATAGGAAGTGGTGTTAACATCAATCTCATAATTTAAAAGATACTGTCATTTCAGACAGGGAGGACCTCTGAAATAGCACCTGGCAACAAAAGGAAATAAGAGGGAAAGAACAGGAATTCAAGGACCAAAGTGAGGAGGAATAGATACTCAACCCCAGCGGGCCAGAGAGAGAGAGAGAACAAGAAAGAGGAGGAAGAGTCAGAAGAGTGAAGCCATGCAAGGAACGGAGGGGTTAATAGTTTGAACACAAGCCATGGGGGCGGAGGTGAGTTGGTGGTTGGAACAGTACGTACTTACTATGGCAACAGGTACTCTTTAGCATTTCCATCTCCTGATAGTAACGCAGCCACAAAGAAGAAGAAGCACAGGTAGAAACAAACGTCTATAGATGCAAGTCAATCACAGCCACCACAGTGTTAAAATTATAAAAGAAAAATACAAATGAATATAGGAAAAACACCAGGATAAATTAAATAAAAAAGAATGGCAAAAAGCCATTCTTAGCAAGACTCCAAAAGAAGGAGAATGGAGAAGAGAATGGGGATTGGAAGATATTTAACGTAACGTAAGACAAGTGTTATAAGACCATCTTTGATTAGATTACACCAGTGATTGGTCTTGTAGACAATCACATTCTCCTTCCCTTCTATACTTTACTACCTACAGAACACAGCTTGTCATGGTTTATACTGGGAGATGCTGGAAGAAGCACAGTATTTACTTCAGAATATCAGAGGAAGGATAACTATGTCCCTCTCAGGCCTCCATAGATCTTGATGCATTAATTCTTTATTACTGTATAAGCCATGGCAAGAAGTGTCTGAGAAATACTGTACTTTATGGTTTTACAACCAGTAGTGTCATTATACTGTATTGGACATTCTCCTGCTGTCTTTAAAAGATGTAATCCAAAAGTAATAAAGACCAAGAGGGAGAAATAAAATTAAACTAAGTACTTTCTTAAATGATCATAATGCACTTCAATGTTACTCTCATTTAAGAAAAATTCACCCGAGGCCTCCCAAGTGGCACAGGGGCACTGCATCACAGTGCTAGAGGCGTCACTACAGACCCTGGTTCGATCCCGGGCTGTGTCGCAGCCGGCCGCGACCAGGAGACCCATGAGGCGGTGCACAATTGGCCCAGCGTCATCCGGGTTAGGGGAGGGTTTGGCCGGCCGGGATATCCTTGTCCCATCGCGCTCTAGCGACTCCTTGTGGCGGGCCAGTCGCCAGCTGTACGGTGTTTCCTCCGTATGGGTGGTCCTCTTTAGCTCAATTGGTAGAGCATGGCGCTTGTAACGCCAGGGTAGTGGGTTCGATCCCCGGGACCACCCATACGTAAAAATTTATGCACACATGACTGTAAGTCGCTTTGGATAAAAGCGTCTGCTAAATGGCATATTATTGGTGTGGCTGGCTTCCGGGTTAAGCGAGCAGTATGTCAAGAAGCGGTGTGGCTTGGCGTGGTCGTGTTTTGGAGGACGCATGGCTCTCGACCTTCACCTCTCCCGAGTCCGTACGGGAGTTGCAGCAATGGGACAAGACTGTAACTACCAATTGGATATCACGAAAAAGGGGTAATTCTTTTAAATATATATAAAAATAAAAATAAACGCCAAGCTCTCTAAAAGTTTTGGCTATCTTTGGTATATTACCCATTTGTAGCGCTCTGTTGATCTTGAGGAATCATAATCTAAAGGATATTCTTTGGACGAAAATGTCAATCCTGAATTACACTGAACTTTCCATTACATGAGGGGTATTTCTTTTATTTTTTATTTTACCTTTATTTAACTAGGCAAGTCAGTTAAGAATAAATTCTTATTTACAATGACGGCCTACACCGGCCAAACCCGGACGACGCTGGGCCAATTGTGCGCCGCCCTATGGGACTCCCAATCACGGCCGGTTGTGATACAGCCTGGAATCGAACCAGGGGGTCTGTAGTGACGCCTCAAGCACTGAGATGCAGTGCCTTAGACCGCTGCGCCACTCGGGAGCCCGAGTTAGATGAACAACCAGAAATAACAATAGATTTTCTGGTTCATTAAGAAAGCTAAACATAGATATGTGTTTTTGTTGTTGTTTCAATGAGACCATGCCCATTCTAAGTGCATCTTTCTAAAAAATAAAATGTTATTTCAGAACATTTAGCCAAGATAGCTGGCTAACTCATTGATCCTACTTTGTAGTATACCCTTCTGATCTTATGGTTTGTTTGTTTCCCATATAAACCAATTCACCTCAATTAGCCTCAAACCTCTTGGCCTGTTATTACACATTAAACATCACATTCAAAAGCAACTACAGTTATTATGTTAAAGACCACATCAAAGACAAACAGCCAGGGACCCCAGCATTCCTTGTTTTTGACCCTTAACCATGGTGCCTCACACCCAGTAGTAGCCCAGGAGAAGCCACTAGGCCAACTAACCTTCCTCTGCTCTGACAGGGGTGCTGGGGGGCGTGCAGGTCTGACTCTGACCCTTTACCTCTTCCTTAGGCTCCGGTAACGCGTCTGGGGAGGAAATCAAATCAAACTTTATTTAAAGTCCATTTCACAAACGAAAAGACGAAGGTTGTCAACTGGTCAGATTAGAGCAATGCATTCATTGATTTTGATTGAGGATTGCCAGTTACAGGGTTCATACAAAACAACACATCATCAACCCAGAGAAAGTTGTGTAATACATACTACTCTTACACAACCACATACAGTATATAACAATAGCACACAGAAGAGAAGAACACAGGTATTGATTATTATTAGAGGATATTGCACACGACACTGCATAAGTAATATAGCCCACAATGGTAACAAGACCCATGTAAGTCCACCTTCACCCCAGATAAGGAACCTCTTCCCTTGGAGACGCCAATCAGATGATTAGTAGTAAACTTTTACACACCCCAAAAGGAAAACAGGTCCATGTTAGGAGGAGGAGCAGGAGGATGAGGAAGAGTCTCTTGCCCAGGACTGATTATTGACGAGAGAGATCATTCATGTTCATTTGGGGAAGGCTTCCTCGGAGAGCAACAATGAGCAATAGGATTCCATTGGTTAAACAGAGATGAGTAAGATCAGATGGTAGGGGGAGGGTTGCAAAATTCTGGAAACTTTACCCAAATTCCCAGGTTTTCCAGAAATCCTGGTGGGATGTTTCACATTTCAAGGATTTCCTCCCTGCTGATTCCTGGAATCCTCCAACCGGGATTTCTGGAACACCTGGATATTTTGTAACCTTAACCATGAGGAGGGTGGCATAGGCAGAGGACAGACAAGGTTTGAGGATTGGAGAGGGCTAAGTAGTGAGTAGGACGGGAGCAGGATCAACCCCGGAGAGACAGAAAAGGGACTCCAGTCAAATGTAAGAATGCAGGACGGAGAGCAGGAGGGCAGGACAGAATCACTCTGCAGTCAGTCAGTACCTGGAGCCTCAGGGAGGGTGAGGGCAGTCAGTCAGTACCTGGAGCCTCAGGGAGGGTGAGGGTTGCCAGCTCTGTGTTGGTGGTGCTGAGGGCCTTCAGCACGGCACAGTGAAACTCCTTGTGAGGAGACTCTGGGTGGGAATCTCCCCCGTAGCCCCTGGGCCCCGACCCTGCAGACGTCCCAGGGCTCTCCTGACCTTCCCCCGACTCGGTCAGGGTGTCTCGGCTGGGGAGAGAGGAGGTGGTGGTAGGGGTGGCCGTGGAGGCTGTGGGGTGGGACTCAGAGACCTCTAGACACTTCTCTGGGACACAGAGGGGCTTTGGTTTCAGTGCAGGCTTCTGTGGGGAGGTAGAGGGGGACAGGCCTCCCTCCCCAGGCCCAGGTGAAGGGAGCTGTGTGCTGGCTGTGGAGGACTCTTCACCCTGTACTGGATGAATGATGCAACACAACAATTTGGATCTCTGTGACGGGTCGTTGGCTCCAGGAGCTTTGTGAAGAACTACCTCATACCTCACATATATTGTGATTCTGTATCTTTGTGCGGTTGTCATTTCTTTCTTAAAACTGTATACTGCAAACCAATTTCCCATCTGGAACAATAAAGCTACTGCTACTGCTACTACTACTACTGCTACTACTACTACTGCTACTGCTACTAGAAGATAATGGAGAAAAGAGGGTTTAATGGTGAACAAACAGTGCAGTTTCTCAGAGTTGGTCAAACGTAACCCAAGAGGTGATCTAGGAGACAGTTGACAGGTCTTACCATCGGGTCCTTTCTGTTTGAGTTCCACCTCCTTGCGGTATTCCTCCAGCTCCTGGTCGAACTGCTTGTTGAAGGGGTTGGGGCCTTTCTGGTTGATGATGACTCTGGGCTGGTACTCCTTCTCTATGATGGCCTTAGACGCTGTCACCAGCTCTCCCTAGTGATATAGACAGGAAGGGACACAGGACACATTGTTGCTAAAAACAGGCCTGTTGTGCGTCACAAAATGTATATTGTTAGACAATTTTTTAAATCAATGCCAACACTGAGAATTTCTAAATATGTTAATACTAGTATTAGGCAGGTCAAACCTATTTTGGGGATTTCTGGTATATCATCAAAATAAATCAATTGCAGCATGTTTTTGGACTGGTTAAGTACAATACCATTGGAAATTAATGTTGAAAGTTCAAATTTGTATTCCTAAAACTTAAATTGAAAATGATGCTGTCTCTGCTTCCCTCTTTTCTTTTGTGGCCCCCCTCTTGACAGCGGACAGACAAATATACATTTTAAAGTACATTTCCTGCAGTTCTACGCATTCTACCGTGGGGCGGAGAGACATTTTTGCAATTTTATAATAAATGTCATTCAATTCTACTAATTATGCCATGGGGCAGAGACACTTTTGCAGTTTTAAAGCTAATTTCCTGCAATTCTACACATTTTGTCATGACTTATGCCATGTTAATGATCTGAGTGAGAGTGACTAACAAAATCAATGGGTGCCCCCTGGATGTCAGGTCCCCTGGGCACGTGCCCAACAAGTTTAGATAAATGGCTAGACTAATTTACTAATCTAAAAATTGTTAGCTGACACTGCTAATTGAGTGACTGTCAATGACTGACAAATTTCGAACTTGCACCTTGTGTATTCTACTACTCTAACTCTCAACAGTAAGTTGAGACCCCGACTGAGTTCCTAGCAGCCGGGGGCCCTAAGCGACCGCGTATGTCTGGAGCCGGCCCTGCCAATATGCAGAAACAGTTCATGATATATTGAAAACCTAAACATTAAATGTATTATCGACACATACAGTACCAGTCAAAAGTTTGGAAACACCTACTCATTCAAGGGTTTTCTTTATTGTTACTATTTTCTACATTGTAGAATAATAGTGAAGACATCAAAACTATTAAATAACACATATGGAATCATGTAGTAACCAAAAAAGTGTTAAACAAATCAAAATATATTTTATATTTGAGATTCTTCAAAGTAGCCACTGTTTGTCTTGATGACAGCTTTGCACACTCTTGGCATTCTCTCAACCAGCTTCATGAGGTAGTCATCTGGAATGCATTTCAATTAACAGGTGTGCCTTGTTAAAAGTTAATTTGTGGAATTCCTTTCCTTCTTAATGCGTTTGAGCCAATCAGTTGTGTTGTGACAAGGTAGGGGTGGTATAGAGAAAATAGCCCTATTTGGTAAAAGACCAAGTCCATATTATGGCAAGAACAGCTCAAATAAGCAAAAAGAAATGACAGTCCATCATTACTTTAAGACATGAAGGTCAGTTAATCTGGAACATTTCAAGAACTTTGAAAGTCGCAAAAACCATAAGGCGCTATGATGAAACTGGCTCTCATGAAGACCGTCACAGGAAAGGAAGACCCAGAGTTACCTCTGCTGCAGAGGATAAGTTCATTGGAGTTAACAGCCTCAGAAATTGCAGCCCAAATAAATGCTTCACAGAGTTCAAGTAACAGACACATCTCAACATCAACTATACAGAGGAGACTGCGTGAAATCAGGCCTTCATGGTCGAATTGCTGCGAAGAAACCACTACTAAAGGACACCAATAATAAGAAGAGACTTGCTTGGGCCAAGAAACACGAGCAATGGATATTAGACCGGTGGAAATCTGTCCTTTGGTCTGACGAGTCCAAATTTGAGATTTTTGGTTCCAACCGCCGTGTCTTTGTGAGGCGCAGAGTAGGTGAACGGATGATCTCTGCATGTGTGGTTCCCACCGTGAAGCATGGAGGAGGAGGTGTTATGGTGTGGGGGTGCTTTGCTGGTGACAGTGTCTGTGATCTGTTTAGAATTCAAGGCACACTTAACCAGCATGGCTACCACAGCATTCTGCAGCAATACGCCACCCCATCTGGTTTGCGCTTAGTGGGACGATAATTTGTTTTTCAACAGGACAATGACCCAAAACACACCTTCAGGTTATTTGACCAAGAAGGAGAGTGATTAAGTGCTGCATCAGATGACCTGGCCTCCACAATCTCCCGACCTCAACCAATTGAGATGGTTTGGGATGAGTTGGACCGCGTGAAGGAAAAGCAGCCAACAAGTGCTCAGCATATGTGGGAGCTCCTTCAAGAATGTTGGAAAAGCATTCCTCTTGAAGTTGGTTGAGAGAATGCCAAGAGTGTGCAAAGTTGTCATCAAGGCAAAGGGTGGCTACTTAGAAGAATCTAAAATACATTATGATTTGTTTAACACTTTTTTGGTTACTACATGATTTCATATGTGCTATTTAATAGTTTTGATGTCTTCACTATTATTCTACAATGTAGAAAATAGTACAAATAAAGAAAAACCCTTGAATGATAGGGGTGTCCAAACTTTTGACTGGTACTGTACATATGCAACAATAGTAATCATATCGTGGTCCTCTGTAGCTCAATTGGTAGAGCATGGCGCTTGTAACGCCAGGGTAGTGGGTTCAATCCCCGGGACCACCCATGCGTAAAAATGTATGCACACATGACTAAGTCGCTTTGGATAAAAGCGTCTGCTAAATGGCATATTATTATTATTATTATTATTATTATTATGTACTTGTATATGAGCACCATATAAACTGCACACGCACCAAAAACCCTGTTTTGGCAATAAATCACTAATATAAATTAGGGGGGACTATCATGTTGTACCCGCTGTGGAAATTAACACACAAAAAAACACATGGAAACTGGAGATATTTTTTACATCACTGTTTAGAGAACAACCTGCAGAAGACAGTCAGCTACATTTTGGAGTGATGCATTTTTATTTGGGGGTCGCCAAAACAGGAAAGAGAAAAGCATTTAATATGGCAAAATAATTAAACATGTCAATTTAACAGGATATATGTTGCCCACTCACAAACTATTGCAACAATGACATCTATTTCTCACTCATTTAACCATTTAGAGAGTAAAAAAATGCTCTACAACACAATTTAACCCCGGTGCCTGAAAGTTTGACGTCACTACTAGTATGGAGCATTTCAAAGCAGTCTGGACAATAGGGCCTATTCAAGTTGTCTTAAATGTTTATACCTCACCTTGGAGTCCGAAATATGGGGCGATGAAGAACAGGGTCACGTTCAACAGGGCACAACATTGTGGAACATTGAGATAGAAATATATAATGTTGAACAAACTGGCCTTTTCTGACATGTGACTTGAAGGAATCACATCAACTCTATTTCTATCTGCAATGTTCCACAATGGTTGCCTACTGAACCTGCCCCAGATATCACACAGAAGAGAGGTGAGAGGTAATGTGAGATGTCATGGAAGGTCAGGAAGTACCTTTCTAAAAGACTTAGCAGGACTATTGGCCTCTGACAGATCGAGGCTGGCAATAGTGTCCGTACAGTCAGACAGAGGGGCGTCCTGCAATAGTAAACTGAGTGAGGGGGGCAGAACTCAGTCCGAGAACACACACACATTCATACAGTACGCATAGTCACACCCACGCAGCGTTTGTTTAAGGGAGGCGAATGGGGCAGTCTCAAGCGTGATCATGATAATAAAAATGGCTCTGGATCATGCATTGCAACACACCACAGGAGTGTGTGCAAGTCAAACTACGGAGACACAAAACCATAAGACATTTACCTCTAGATTTAACGCCATCAAATCACGCAAAACCAAAACGTTATAACTAACAGTGAAGAAAGGTTCAGAGAAAACCAACTGCTCTTTCTCAAATCAGTCCTTCTAAAGACCTTCATTAGTCAAATCTGATCGCATAATGCACATTATATTGGTTAGCAGACAAACACTTCAACAATGGCCTCAGCAGTCCTCCCAAAACTCATTCAAATTAAACTAGCAAAACCTTAATAACTAATTATGAATGGGATCCACCAGAGGTCAAATAATGGAAAGGAACTCAGGAGGAGGGCAAACCAACAACATGCAAACTCAACTCTGAAGTCATATGAAAGCAATCCAACAGACCTGTAGCGAACAGTGCTGAAGGCTAACAGTGCTGAAGGCTAACAGTGCTGAAGGCTAACAGTGCTGAAGGCTAACAGCATGTTGGGGTTAGTCATCAAAAGGATGAAAATCTAAAATCAACCAAAGGAGATGGACACAACCCGGCCTGTGACACAGCATGAGTTTACCTCTGACCTTCATGTTACTTACCTGCCAGACTGAACTTCTCTGTGGTCAAAGAATAACCAAGTTAACTTAAATGTCAGTGGGGGCGATCAAGTCAGACCTGGGTTCAAATACTATTAGAAATCATTCAAATACTTTTAGCCTTTGCTTTAGTCTGCTTAGAGTGCAGGGTTTGCAGTTTTGCAACTATTATATTGGCTCAATCAAGCCAAGCTTAAGAATTTGAAATTAGGTCTCGAGGGTAAGCATATGGGGCAGCACACATATTGCTATTTTTCCAGGGTTTGGCTGGCTGTGGTGTGGGGCAGGGCACAGGATGGACTCACCTGGACAAAGGAGCGGTCCACCATGCTTCCAGCACACAGCACCTGGGACTCAGGCCCTGCAGTCTTGATGTCCTTAAGGTTCTGCTCTCGGATCTAGAGGGTGGTAGCAGACAGAAAGAGGGGTTGGATACGGAGCCACAGACATGCATTGAATAACACAAAGACAGAAATCCCGATTTTCTAACCTTCTTCCGAAGTGTGCACTACCACTCATGGATTCATTTTTGTTGTTGTTGAAAAAAACCTAATGCTTTTAAATCCATGATGAACAGTGTACAAGTGCACACTACAGGAGTAGGGCAAAGAGTTGGGACCCAAACCAACCCATGTTGAAATAATCGACAGAGAGTCCATGTTAAAATGATATCCTACCTTGTTCCTCATCTCCAGCACCTCTTTGGGGTTTGTGTTGAGCGGGACAAACTGATTGGCCACTGCAGCCTGTCGCATCCCTTCCTCATTCATCCACTGTAATCACCATAGCAACAATTAAAATAAACTGCCTAAAATGACGCCGCCAAAATAACATGAAAAAACAGGTGCAAAATATTTAAATATACAGACTACGCAGGCTTTACAGGACAATAATTATAATAATAGGTCATGCTTTTCAAACTGAAAAAATTGAGAAGGTATGACTAACGGAATTATAAAAAATATAAAATACACGTAGAAGCAGTGATGATGCATATTTTGGCAGGATGGCTCTGTATTTCATAGTTCTAGACAGTACACACTGTATTAAGTTACTGGTATTCTATGTCATTATCTAACCCCCTAACAGGCATCTGTTATTGAACATACAATACCAAAATAGTACAATGTTTCCTCCAAAAAGATGCACAATTATCATCATCATCATCATCATTCATACTCTGGCTGTTACTGGTAGACTTAAAAAACGGAGTAAACAACTATAAAACACAAAAAAGAGCAACTGAAGACATCACAAGATGATGAGCGACCGGGGAGGGGGTGAAAACGGGAGGGGGTGAGGCGATGATGACGCTGGCTTACAGTACAGTAGAAGCTATGTACTGTATGTGGACCAGCGAGCTAGTGGCAATGGGGTGAGGCGTGAGAGTGGGCATTACCAAGTCATTTCCCAGGCTAACATACAGTACAGTAACAGAACAACAGGGATAAAGAGAAAAACACACACCGACAGACGAGACACTCGTCCACCATTTACTGACTGACAGAATAACTAATTGGGGAAAAAACTCCAACTTAGTGTTACCCCCAAGAATTGAATTTTATACAAGTTAAAATGTCCTTAGTTTATGTTTAGTTAAAAGGGGCTGTCATGGTCTCTATGCAATGGTATTTTGATCTACTACTGAATACCGTTCTTGTACGACAGCAGTAGAAAGAATCTCTGGAGCTGTCATTTTTTGGAAGGTAATGAACTGGACTGTTCTGGAAGTTCTTGACAGAGCTGTTTAAACTGAAACAATGGGAATGCTCAGAAAATGATTGAGCTTTATTTTTTTTAAACACAGATATGATTAAATGAGCAGCCGCTGAATCTACAGTACTTTTACCCTTCATGCTAATATTTTTTATTTTTCCACCTTTTTTAATGCACTTTCTGGAAAGCATGTTATTATGCAATTTGCCTTGGAGTAGCATGAGCTATGGGTTCTTTTCTGTTTAAGAGATGTTTCAGCTGGGTTGTTAAAGCTGTTAGGTGCCAAACCAAAAACTAGATGAGGAAGAGGCAAAGGGCATCTGGGATGTAGTTAGGAAACATGGGATGGACATGTAAACATGATATACTCACTGATTATGTACAGAGTTTCACAACAACACTTTCTCCTACTTTCCCAGAGGAGATAATCGGTTCAAAAGTTAAAATGGGTTAAATGTATTTTTCTTCTTTTTTTTTTAATTAAACATATTTGCTCATGCATGGGAACACAAATGAAGTTTCATATCAGCTCTGGGCATTTGGGAGGCGGTTCGGGTCTGAGTCATAAAAAAGCAGGCTATGACTCATGAGATTCCGATTCCAATGCCATACCAAAAGCAGGGCGGTCTTGCGCCTTATTCACTGTCTATGGCTTTAACTGTGATGTAATTAGCTGTCTGGCCGAAGGACCAGCTGCAAGAGATAGAGGTAACTTCCTCGGTTTCAAAGGTCAAACAATGCTCAAAATAAAAGAGGCATGCTAGCTTTGAAGTGCGTCTACAAAGGGGGACATTGTCTATCTATAATTTAGTGTATTGTTCTATTAGATTAGCTAGTAATTAGTAATACATTGTCATACTCTCATATCATTAACTGTGGTACAAAACTGTGTGCAACACACCTCACCTTAGAAAGGTGTGAGGTTTGCTTTAGTAAAATGCATCCTACATTATGCTTCAGTTTAACACTGCACTAACTTCCCTGGGTGCACAGTTAGAAAAGCTACAGATCAGACACACAACACCAGACAGAAAGGAACGAGAACAAATCTGTAAAGCAGCAGTAGTGGTTCGTAAGCAACATCATCGAGCCACGCCCACTCTGGGCTCATGCCACACCCCTGTCGCTCCTCCTCCCGCAATGCATCTGACTACTCATGCAACACCGCATGCGCTGGGCTGCTGGGCTGGCACCCTAAAGCCTGAGGGAACAAGGGATGGAAAGGGGAGGAGTGGGACTAAGAGGAGGAAGAGAGGGAGGGACCACCTGCTTAACAGAGTGGTTCATAGGGAAAACAACTTCTTTAGACAGAGTAAGATTTAGGAACAAAGAAGTGCATTTTCAAGGGAATGAAAAGGGGGAATCAGAATATATAAAATCTGTCTTAATCAGTTATTAAAGTCTGGTCTTTGGACTGGCTAGAGAGGAAAATAGAGCAAAACTACCACAATGGGAATTAGTTAACTACTGGACAGAGAGAGTGGTTAGATACATCCAAACACTGGAGATGTCTGGAGTTATCTGGAGAAGCACACGATCTAAATAGATCACAGGATCCATTTCACCCCAACCTTAGAGTGCCAACCAGCTGCCCTGTCAACAACTAGCTGAACTGTACGACTAACTATGAACAATAAGGTAGACACAGACCAAGCAGTTGGTAATACAGCTTGGCACGCAGACACCGGACGAGAGAGACTGCAGCAAGGGTTTGACGTGATCATGTGTAATGTTCGTCCACACCTTAGTCTTCGACTTGGGGCTGCCACCGTCAGGCCCTTCCTCGTTGGCATCGTCCGGCCGGCCCGAGTTGAGCCAGCGGGTCTTGTCACGCTGCTGCCTCTGAAAGCTGTGCTTGAGAGGGGAGCGAGCGCCCGAGTCACTGTCCTCGGCATAGGAATAGCCCGTGGCAGAGGGAGCGATCTCTACGTCGCTGCTGAACTTTTTTGCTTTGTCTCGCAGGGCAGGGCACCTGTAGGGGTAGCCTGTCCTGTAACCCTAGAGAAAGAGAGAGACAGGGTCAGTTAGAGGGTGTATCAAGAAAGGAGTTAAAGCAAGGCATATCAAATATTATTGATAGTAACCTACAGTATTACTAATATAATTTTACATGAAAATCTGTCAACTGTAATGAAATGTAATTTTTCCAGCTTGGCAGGAAAGGTTATCCTGGTAGTCTCATATCTGTTTGTACTGTCTTACCAACTCCTATGGTCAAACAACATTTGGCAATGACAATGACCATGACCATAGGAGTTGGCAAAACAACACAAACATATCTGGGGCCAGTCTAGGAAAAGGTAACATTACTCTCAAGACTAATAGGCGAATTCCTACCAGGTTATCCAGCATCCTCATGTAAGCCTCAAACTCCTGCTCCCCGACCAGCCACTTTGGGTGTGTGGAGCCCTCGACATGCTCAGAGCACCGCGGCCGGGATTTGTACTTAGCAGGGTCCAGCATCACCAGGTTATCAGGCCCTCCAGCATTGGCTAGGGTGCGCACCTGGAAACACACACAAACACATAGTCCCACACAAAGTCATTCAGTCACAGACACGATCATGTCACATGCAGAATGAAGTATTGTGTTGGGTATATGTTGTGTTTCGATTGTATTATACTTGGCAAATGCTCAGAGAGTTGGCATCTTGTCTGAGAGTAACAGTATACAATACGATGTATCATTGATTGAAGGCTGGGTGCAGCATAAGATCAGCCGCAGAGCAGCGGCCCTGGAGCAGATTCTCACTGAAATCAACATTTGGCCTGAAAACTGTCAGGAAAGTGTCCTACCTGGACCTCACATGCAGTGACCAGGTTGTGGATATAGTAGAAGGCTTCCTCCACAGTCTCCCCAACAGACACCAGACCATGGTTTCTAAGGATCAGAACCTAGAGGACAAATAACATCAAAACAACTCAGTGTACCCACACACAAAAAGATACTCTCTCACACATATAGACACTTAGGGCCAGTTTCCCCAGACACAGATTAAGCCATGTGCGCACGCACACTTGCAGCCAGTCCCAATTTATTCCCAAACCCTCCCTAGCCTGGCCCCATCATTTTGAACCCTTCTTCTGTTACCTTGCTGGTTGGCCCCAGGTTCTTCTGTATAAGGACGCTCTCCTCCTCATCTACGAGGATGCCGTGGTAGTCATGGTAGGCCACTTCCCCCAGGGTCATGGCCTCTGGAGAGATGGGCAACAGGCCACACTTCATGGCCGACACCTGAAATACAACACACAGAACACAAGTTATCCACCAATAGGGACAGGGCCTCTGGAGATGGGCAGCAGGCATCATTTCAAGGCCGACACCTGAAACACAACACACAGACAGATGTAATTATCTACCACTACAGATATGGGGCGCTGTAGAACTACACCACAACAGCTGACTAGAATGTTTATTTTGGTAGCAGCAGTATTTCACGATTTTTCACATTCGTTCTAGCTCGCTTGGTGCCCTTGATGGGCAGAATTTTCACCAATGGAATGGTGCCCTGGGTGAGCTAAAATGAATGCGCCTAATATTACAAAGTTTACAAGAGCATAAAAATGTTAAAGTTCTATAGATCTGTAGCAACCAGGCAGAGAAAGGAAGTTAGGAATGGGTCAGGTGTGTGTGGTTGGTGGGGTGGGGTGGCTTATTTCTTACTGCAGCTCCGGCCGGTGTGTGGACGTGTACAATGCACTTGACGTCTGGCCGGGCTGCGTAGATTGCTGAGTGGAGAGTGAAGCCAGCCAGGTTGACCCCTAAATTGGTGCTCCCCCGGTCCACGATCTCCCCTTGTATATTAATCTTCACCTAGGATGGGACACAGAATTAAATAGAAAGGATACATTATAACATAGCTCTATGGGATAGGACCAGACAGGCAGCGGTGAGTCAATGCCTTATGACTGAAAGACTACAGTGAAATTAACTATCTAAAAGTTAACAAGAAAAAAAAAAAAAAAGTGATACATCTGGGATCATACAGTTAAACAGTGAGTCAATGCCCTGTGACTTATCTTACCATGCTAGCCTATGTCCCAGATCTATTTGTTCTGTCTTGCAAACTCTAGCCAAACTTGAGTTTGCAGGTTTGGCTGCGGCAGGTAGCTTAGTGGGTAAGAGCGTTGTGCCAGTAACCGAAAGGTCGCTGGTTCTAATCCCCGAGCCGACTAGGTGAAAAATCTGTCGATGTGCCCTTAAGCAAGGCACTTAACCCTAATTGCTCCTGTAAGTCGCTCTGGATAAGAGCGTCTGCTAAATGACTAAAATGTAAATGTAAAATGTAAATGTAAATTTAAAAATGACATAGGAGTTGGCAAGACAGCACAAACAGATCTGGGACTCAGGCCTGTCAGTGAAATTAACAATGTAAAAATATGATACAGGCAGAGGGAATTGACGGCAGCTTCGGCCTTGAAGGATCTATGAGTCAGCATATAACAAGACAAGTGTTACATCTCCAGATTACAGTACAGTCGTGGTCAAAAGTTTTGAGAATGACACAAGTATTGGTCTTTACAAAGTTTGCTGCTTCAGTGTTTTTAGATATTTTTGTCAGATGTTACTATGGTATACTGAAGTATAATTACAAGCATTCCATAAGTGTCAAAGGCTTTTATTGACAATTACATTAAGTTTATGCAAAGAGTCAATATTTGCAGTGTTGACCCTTCTTTTTCAAGACCTCTGCAATCCGCCCTGGCATGCTGTCAATTATCTTCTGGGCCACATCCTGACTGATGGCAGCCCATTCTTGCATAATCAATGCTTGGAGTTTGGCAGAATTTGTGGGTTTTTGTTTGTCCACCCGCCTCTTGAGGATTGACCACAAGTTCTCAATGGGATTAAGGTCTGGGGAGTTTCCTGGCCATGGACCCAAAATGTCGATGTTTTGTTCCCCGAACCACTTAGTTATCACTTTTGCCTTATGGCAAGGTGCTCCATCATGCTGGAAAAGGCATTGTTCATCACCAAACTGTTCTTGGATGGTTGGGAGAAGTTGCTCTCGGAGGATGTGTTGGTACCATTCTTTATTAATGGATGTGTTCTTAGGTAAAATTGTGAGTGAGCCCACTCCCTTGGCTGAGAAGCAACCCCACACATGAATGGTCTCAGGATGCTTTACTGTTGGCATGACACAGGACTGATGGTAGCGCTCACCTTGTCTTCTCCGGACAAGCTTTTTTCCGGATAACCCAAACAATCGGAAAGGGGATTCATCAGAGAAAATGACTTTACCCCAGTCCTCAGCAGTCCAATCCCTGTACCTTTTGCAGAATATCAGTCTGTCCCTGAAGTTTTTCCTGGAGAGAAGTGGCTTCCTCGATGCCCTTCTTGACACCAGGCCATCCTCCAAAAGTCTTCGCCTCACTGTGCGTGCAGATGCACTCACACTTGCCTGCTGCCATTCCTGAGCAAGCTCTGCACTGGTGGTGCCCCGATCCCGCAGCTGAATCAACTTTAGGAAACGGTCCTGGCGCTTGCTGAACTTTCTTGGGCGCCCTGAAGCCTTCTTCACAACAATTGAACCTCTCTCCTTTAAGTTCTTGATGATCCGATAAATGGTTGATTTAGGTGCAATCTTACTAGCAGCAATATCCTTGCCTGTGAAGCCCTTTTTATGCAAAGCAATGATGATGGCACGTATTTCCTTGCAGGTAACCAGAGGAAGAACAATGATTTCAAGCACCACCCTCCTTTTAAAGCTTCCAGTCTGTTATTCTAACTCAATCAGCATGACAGAGTGATCTCCAGCCTTGTCCTCGTCAACACTCTCACCTGTGTTAACAAGGGAATCACTGACATGATGTCAACTGGTCCTTTTGTGGCAGGGCTGAAATGCAGTGGAAATGTTTTTTTGGGATTAAGTTCATTTTTCATGGCAAAGAGGGACTTTGCAATTAATTGCAATTCATCTGATCACTCTTCATAACATTCTGGAGTATATGCAAATTACCATCATAAAAACTGAGGCAGCAGACTTTGTGAAAATGTATATTTGTGTCATTCTCAAAACTTTTGACCACGACTGTACACTAGACAGAGAAGGAACTTGAACAACCTTAATGTCTCAAGTACGGTTGGATGTTGATAAACCTAATGCATTCAGAATCCCAAAGCCAGATATATTAAAATACCAGTAGTTAGGCAGGCAAAATGACAATCACTCATTTAAAATCACTCATTTAAATGCATTTAGCACAACATAAGATGTACATTTTTAATTAGTTCACAGCTTTATCATACATTATGCAGGCAGCTCTGTTAAGAGTGAGAGACACTGGGGGAGAACCTTACCAGACTGGAGGCGGAGACTTCACTGTACAGAAGCCCAAAAGGGACAACAATGAACCTCTCCTGATCTGAATTCATCCTGACCTGGAAGAGTACAGATGGTGTTCTTATCAAGTTACTCAGTACCAAACAAACAAACAAACAAACAAATAAGCCTAAGGAATTACACAAAATGGCTGACATACATACACTATAATGCAGTAGTTAGTATTTTCACATTATTTTGATGATTCATATGTATAGAATATTATGCTTACTCAACTAATTTTACTAACCTAGCCAACCCCACATTTCCTTATTGAGCTTTCTGAAAATATAGTCCGCTGGTAAAATGTGCGAAGCAAGCACTACATTATACTGCAGTGGGGGAAAAAAGATCCTGTCCTACATACCACTTCAGGTGTTTCGTACTGACTACGAGTCAGCTTCAGTGATATACAGTATCACTAGAGGGGTAAGATGCCTACAGTATAAGGTTTTCTTACAGTTAAGTGCTTGTAGATGAGCTGGGACCAGCCAAAGAGGTCTGTCAGGCGGTAGAAGGCAGCTAGCTTACAACGAAGCAGTTTCTCTCCTTTCTCATAGGAGATGGAGTCAGATCCACGCAGGTCATTCACTGGGGTTACCATACCCAGACCTAGATAGGGAGAGAGGGATTTGCTTTGGCAATATGTACACTACCGGTCAAAAGTTTTCGAACACCTACTCATTCAAGGGTTTATCTTTATTTTTTACTATTTTCTACATTGTAAAATAATAGTGAAGACATCAAAACTATGAAATAACACATATGGAATCATGTAGTAACCAAAGAAATGTTAAACAAATAAAAATATATTTTATATTTGAGATTCTTCAGTGTAGCCACCCTTTGCCTTGATGACAGCTTTGCACACTCTTGGCATTCTCTCAAACAGCTTCACCTGGAATGCTTTTCCAACAGTCTTGAAGGAGTTCCCAGATATGCTGAGCACTTGTTGGCTGCTTTTCCTTCACTCTGAGGTCCGACTCATCCCAAACCATCTCAATTTGGTTGAGGTCGGGGGATTGTGGAGGCAAGGTCATCTGATGCAGCACTCCATCACTCTCCTTCTTGGTCAAATAGCCCTTACACAGCCTGGAGGTGTGTTGGGTCATTGTCCTGTTGAAAAAAAAGTTATAGTCCCACTAAGCCCAAACCAGATGGGATGGCGTATCGCTGCAGAATGCTGTGGTAGCCATGCTGGTTAAGTGTGCCTTGAATTCTAAATAAATCACAGACAGTGTCACCAGCAAAGCACCCCCACACCATAACACCTCCTCCTCCATGCTTTACGGTGGGAAATACACATGCGGAGATCATCCGTTCACCCACACCGCGTCTCACAAAGACACGGCAGTTGGAACCAAAAATCTCCAATTTGGACTCCAGACCAAAGGACAGATTTCCACCGGTCTAATGTCCATTGCTCGTGTTTCTTGGTCCAAGCAAGTCTCTTCTTCTTATTGATGTCCTTTAGTAGTGGTTTCTTTGCAGCAATTCAACCATGAAGGCCTGATTCACACCGTCTCCTCTGAACAGTTGATGTTGAAATGTGTCTGTTACTTGAACTCTGTGAAGCATTTATTTGGGCTGCAATTTCTGAGGCTGGTAACTCTAATGAACTTATCCTCTGCAGCAGAGGTAACTCTGGGTCTTCCATTCCTGTGGAAGTTCTCATGAGAGCCAGTTTCATCATAGCGCTTGATGGTTTTTGCGATTGCATTTGAAGAAACGTTCAAAGTTCTTGAAATTTTCCGTATTGACTGACCTTCATGTCTTAAAGTAATGATGGACTGTCGTTTCTCTTTACTTATTTGAGCTGTTCTTGGACTTGGTCTTTTAATAAATAGGGCTATCTTCTGTATACCCCCCCCCCTCCTTGTCACAACAAAACTGATTGGCTGAAACGCATTAAGAAGGAAAGAAATTCCACAAATTAACTTTTAAGAAGGCACACCTGTTAATTGAAATGCATTCCAGGTGACAACCTCATGAAGCTGGTTGAGAGAATGCCAAGAGTGTGCAAAGCTGTCATCAAGGCAAAGAGTGGCTACTTTGAAGAATATATTTTGTCAACTGGTCCTTTTGTACAAAATATACTACATGATTCCATATGTGTTATTTCATAGTTTTGATGTCTTCACTATTATTCTACAATGTAGAAAATACTACAAATAAAGAAAATCCCTTGAATGAGTAGGTGTTCTAAACCTTTTGACCGGTAGTGTACATTGTTACATCATGCCAATCAAACAAATTGAATTGAGAGAGAGACAGAGGAACAATTTCCTTTACCTCAGTTAACAAAGAATAATATGTTTATTTAGGTCTAAACATAGCATTTATCTGTCTATCATTACAAAGCCTGTAGTTTCCCTCTACTACAACACTACTAACAACCTCTGATCTTAGCGGAGGCCATCTTGGACTGAGGGGACCTACTAATCTGGTAACATACAGTGGGGGAAAAAAGTATTTAGTCAGCCACCAATTGTGCAAGTTCTCCCACTTAAAAAGATGAGACAGGCCTGTAATTTTCATCATAGGTACACGTCAACTATCACAGACAAATTGAGAAAAAAAAATCCAGAAAATCACATTGTAGGATTTTTAATAAATTTATTTGCAAATTATGGTGGAAAATAAGTATTTGGTCACCTACAAACAAGCAAGATTTCTGGCTCTCACAGACCTGTAACTTCTTCTTTAAGAGGTTCCTCTGTCCTCCACTCGTTACCTGTATTAAATGGCACCTGTTTGAACTTGTTATCAGTATAAAAGACACCTGTCCACAACCTCAAACAGTCACACACCAAACTCCACTATGGCCAAGACCAAAGAGCTGTCAAAGGACACCAGAAACAAAATTGTAGACCTGCACCAGGCTGGGAAGACTGAATCTGCAATAGGTAAGCAGCTTGGTTTGAAGAAATCAACTGTGGGAGCAATTATTAGGAAATGGAAGACATACAAGACCACTGATAATCTCCCTCGATCTGGGGCTCCACGCAAGATCTCACCCCGTGGGGTCAAAATGATCACAAGAACGGTGAGCAAAAATCCCAGAACCACACGGGGGGACCTAGTGAATGACCTGCAGAGAGCTGGGACCAAAGTAACAAAGCCTACCATCAGTAACACACTACGCCGCCAGGGACTCAAATCCTGCAGTGCCAGACGTGTCCCCCTGCTTAAGCCAGTACATGTCCAGGCCCGTCTGAAGTTTGCTAGAGTGCATTTGGATGATCCAGAAGAGGATTGGGAGAATGTCATATGGTCAGATGAAACCAAAATATAACTTTTTGGTAAAAACTCAACTCGTCGTGTTTTGAGGACAAAGAATGCTGAGTTGCATCCAAAGAACACCATACCTACTGTGAAGCATGGGGGTGGAAACATCATGCTTTGGGGCTGTTTTTCTGCAAAGGGACCAGGACGACTGATCGTGTAAAGGAAAGAATGAATGGGGCCATGTATCGTGAGATTTTGAGTGAAAACCTCCTTCCATCAGCAAGGGCATTGAAGATGAAACGTGGCCGGGTCTTTCAGCATGACAATGATCCCAAACACACCGCCCGGGCAACGAAGGAGTGGCTTCGTAAGAAGCATTTCAAGGTCCTGGAGTGGCCTAGCCAGTCTCCAGATCTCAACCCCATAGAAAGTCTTTGGAGGGAGTTGAAAGTCCGTGTTGCCCAGCGACAGCCCCAAAACATCACTGCTCTAGAGGAGATCTGCATGGAGGAATGGGCCAAAATACCAGCAACAGTGTGTGAAAACCTTGTGAAGACTTACAGAAAACGTTTGACCTGTGTCATTGCCAACAAAGGGTATATAACAAAGTATTGAGAAACTTTTGTTATTGACCAAATACTTATTTTCCACCATAATTTGCTAATAAATTCATAAAAAATCCTACAATGTGATTTTCTGGATTTTTTTCTCTCTCATTTTGTCTGTCATAGTTGACGTGTACCTATGATGAAAATTACAGGCCTCTCTCATCTTTTTAAGTGGGAGAACTTGCACAATTGGTGGCTGACTAAATACATTTTTCCCCCACTGTACATCACATATAGCTCATATATAGTGCCATATACATTAGATTAAAAGTATACATTACATCAGTGTTTCCCAAACCTCTCCTCGAGTACCAACAGACAGTCCACTTACTTAAAAAGTATTTAAAAAGGAATCAGAGTGGTAAGAACTGAAGACACATGACAGGATTATCCTGTATATTACTCACTCATGTTGAGTGCAGCCATGCCTCCCTGTGGCGCTGCGGGGTACATGGTGGGGATACTCGTGGTCATGAAGTCAGCTATCTGCTGCAGGGCCAACAGGCTGGTGGGGGTCTTTCCCCTCTTCATCTGGTCCTGGATCATCGTATCCAGCTCGTCACAAAACGCCTGGGGAGTAAAGTAGACAGTAACACAGTCAGTAACAGACAGACAGAGAGACACATAGTCAGAGACAGACATTGAAGGGTCAGTACGTGTCACTGCACACATACGCTACCAGTCAAAGGTTTGGACACACCTACTCATTCAAGGGTTTTTCTTTATTTTTACTATTTTTTTTACATTGTAGAATAATAGTGAAGACATCAAAACTATGAAATAACACATGGAATCATGTAGTAACCAAAAAAGTGTTAAACAAATCAAAATACATTTTATATTTGAGATTCTTCACACAGCTTTGCACACTCCTGGCATTCTCACAACCAGCTTCAAGAGGTAGTCATCTGGAATGCATTTCAATTAACATGCGTGCCTTCTTAAAAGTTAATTTGTGGAATTTATTTCCTTCTTAATGCATTTGAGCCAATCAGTTGTGTTGTGACAAGGTAGGGGGGGTATACAGAAGATAGCCTTATTTGGTAAAAGACCAAGTCCAAATTATGGCAAGAACAGCTCAAATAAGCAAAGAGAAACAACAGTCCATCATCATTACTTTAAGACATGAAGGTCAGTCAATACGGAACATTTCAAGAACTTTGAAAGTTTTTTTCAAGTGCAGTCGCAAAAACCATCAAGCGCTATGATGAAACTGGCTCTCATGAGGACCGCCACAGGAATGGAAGACCCAGAGTTACCTCTGCTGCAGAGGATAAGTTCATTAGAGTTACCAGCCTCAGAAATTGCAGCCCAAATAAATGCTTCAGAGTTCAAGTAACAGACACATCTCAACTGTTCAGAGGAGACTGTGAATCAGGCCTTCATGGTTGAATTGCTGCAAAGAAACCACTACTAAAGGACATCAAGAAGAAGAAGAGACTTGCTTGGACCAAGAAACACGAGCAATGGACATTAGACCGGTGGAAATGTGTCCTTTGGTCTGGAGTCCAAATTGGAGTCCCAACCGCTGTGTCTTTGTGAGACGCGGTGTGGGTGAACGGATGATCTCCGCATGTGTATTTCCCACTGTAAAGCATGGAGGAGGTGGTGTTATAGTGTGGGGGTGCTTTGCTGGTGACACTGTCAGTGATTTATTTAGAATTCAAGGCACACTTAACCAGCATGGCTACCACAGCATTCTGAAGTGATACGCCATCCCATCTAGTTTGGGCTTAGTGGGACTATCATTTGTTTTTCAACAGGACAATGACCCAAAACACACCTCCAGGCTGTGTAAGGGCTATTTGACCAAGAAGGAGAGTGATGGAGTGCTGCATCAGATGACCTTGCCTCCACAGTCCCCCGACCTCAACCCAATTGAGATGGTTTAGGATGAGTCGGACCGCAGAGTGAAGGAAAAGCAGCCAACAAGTAAGTGCTCAGCGTATGTAGGAACTCCTTCAAGACTGTTGGAAAAGCATTCCAGGTGAAGCTGGTTGAGAGAATGCACAGAGTGTGCAAAGCTGTCATCAAGGCAAAGGGTGGCTATTTGAAGAATCTCAAATATATTTTGATTTGTTTAACACTTTTTGGGTTACTACATGATTCTATGTGTTATTTCATAGTTTTGACGTCTTCATTATTATTCTACAATGCAGAAAATAGTAAAAATAAAGAAAAACCCTGGAATTAGTAGGTGTGTCCAAACTTTTGACTGATACTGTATGCGTCAATACACTACCACCGTCGCAGAGTTGACAGTCACAGACAGACAGACAGGGACATTCACAAAGTCAGATGGTGAAGGCTCAGGTCAGGACAGAACGCGCCAATACACTGTCGTCTTCGCTGATGCATTCTAACACTGTCACTGGCTGGCTATTGTTAGTTCCTCTATTTCAGGATCCATGGTTACTCTTAAATCAAGAGTGATCTGAAATAAAAGGGCCTCTATTTTATGTCTGCCTGTGTTCTCTCGCTGTCGCTGCTTGAAAATGTCACAAGTAAGTCTGAAGTGCCTGTTGACTGCCGCATTGCAAAGAGGAGACAGAGAGGCTCCACAATAATAAACAATGTTCGCAGGAATAGCCTAGTATATTACAGAAGCTCTGACTAGTAGTTACTGTCCTAACCCAAACATTCCCAACAGCAGCTATGAGAGATCACTGAAAAACAATCTTCTCACACTGGTCCTGTATGTTTCATACTGTCCCTGACATGAAGAGAACTGAAGGGAGAATATCATGCACTCTACCCTTTTGTTACCCTCCCAGCTGCTGTCGGTGTGTGTGTGTGTGTGTGCACACTTTGTGCGTGCGTGTGTGTGTCATTGCTGCCCGGAAAGAGCTCATCTCCTCTCTGACCCATATAAACTCATTCAGACTAGAGTACTGAGGCCTTATGGCTCTCTGCCTATCCCTAGACCCTGATCCATCCACACTGCACAGCATAATAAAGACTGTCTTTCTTCCTTAACTATAAGGGCTGGTGTATAAATATTTAGTTTTTATACGTATATTACTGGGCTTAAACTGAGTGCTTAGGGAACAGTAGTGTGTTTGAGAGAGACAGATAAACTGTTGATCAGTGTTAAGTGGTTATAGCATGTGATAGTGGAGAGGGTGATACAGCCCTACACAAAGAGGCTATTCAATTGGAAGTAAAAAAAACAGTGGGGCAAGTTTTTGGACAAAAGGTGTTCTTATATTCTTATGTTGGTGACATTACATTAAGACATAGGATAGAAGAGGAGTAGCACTGCACACTGAGTGTGTGTTTGTGTGAATTTGCATGCATGTGTGTGTATGATAGCCAGTCCTACCGGGCTCTGCAGGATCATGGAGACCCTCTTCCTCTGCTCCATCATGTTGAAATCCTGTCTGAGGTCTGGAGCCATGTTTCTCTCACGCTGGTACTCTGGGCTGCTCTCATCCACACGGTCAAAGTAGCGCTCCTTGTGGGGGGCAGTGGTGGGAGGGGGGGCAGTCACCACCCCAGCACCTGAGTCACCATTCATCACCGGGTCTGTCAGCTCCTGTAGATGCCAGGGTGAATGGTCAGAGGTGAGATGTTACAACATGGGTCATGTTCAGTGGTGACCTGTCATTCAGTGCAGGTGGGGTGATAAGTGTCACATATCAGTTTGCAAACAATGTAAAAAAAATAAATATACATCTTTGAATGAATAAAGCTGCATACAAACATGGTCTCATTTTTGCTTTCTTGAGTGAGGCAGCGCCAAAATGCAGGTTCTTTCTGTGGTGGTGGGGAAGCCAGTGGAAAAAAACGGAGCGTAGGGGTTGGTAATGTTCTCTAGTTGCGCCGTGATTGGCTCAGTGTTCTGTCACTCATGGGGACACTACGTCAATGCAAAATGTATGGGTAGAGCTCGAAAATTCAAGCCCATTGGGTGCTGCCATAGAGTTACATTAGAAGTGCCCATCCAAGAAGGCTCAAGGTCATTGGCCACAGATACAATGACATCAAATGACATATCTACCGTAGCTTTGATTGGACTGATAATGTCAACATCATACTTACAAAATATTAGCTAGCAATCTAGCAGTCATCATCATGAATCAAGTCGACAATCTACTGACAAAACCTTTTCAATCCTTGTCATATGAAGATAAATTATAGATAAAATGTATCGGTGCTCATCGGCCATTGGACATACACATTACACAACAAGTTGGAAATCGCAAATTCAACAATGAGTGGTTTGGAAGGAATTGCAAAGCAATCACTAGCCTGCTATTCAGTGGGGTGGGTGCGTGGTCCAAGTCTGGGTTTAGGGATAAACATTCAACATTGGCCATGCTGTCAATCCAGCATGACCTCTGCCGTGCTCAAAATAACTGTAAACTCGGAACTGGGAAATCTCAGACTTCAGTGAGTTCAAGACAACTGGGGGAAAAAAACAGCTCCGACTGGGAAAATACGTTTTCAACGGTCATCCAACTCGGAATCTCGAGCCTCTTTCTAGAGCTCCGACCTGAAGATCACTGACGTCATCATGATTCAACCTTGTTTTTTTCAGAGTTCCCAGTTGTCTTGAAAGCACCATAAAATCAGGAGAATGCCAGACTTTGATGACAAAGTTTGCCCACGAAGGACCGCCGCGCCACCTTCCTGTTCAAGTGAGCACAGCACAACAAGGTGAGTCCAAAATTGTATTGTATTCTGCTGCATAAATGATGTAATATGCCAGGGAGATAAGTATACTGTAGCTAAGAAAGTTATACTAAGTGTATGTTATGTAGTAAGCTGTTAGTAGCCCATGTGCCTCACCCTAATAATCTGGTCCCCTTTCCCCTCATAATTCAGCCTACTGTTTTGACTTGGTGGTGCACATGTAGCCTATAGCCTATTTTAGAGAAATGTCATCATTTAATATTGTAAGAGTTTTCATTGTCTGCTTATATGCCCTTTATCTATCCTACGGTTCTGACTTGGTGTACAGGGAAAATACTGTAAGAACGGCCCATGTTCTGAATTCTGTTGCTGTACAATTTCAAAAGTGCTGAACAAATAGTTATATTGACTACGTCCATCCTAGCTCGCTCATTAATGTCTTAATCGAAGTTACGGACTGCCTCTTAACCGCTCATCGTCCCCTTATGCCATAGTTTGTACATCTCAATTGTCAGTAGGAACCACATTTGTTTAAGCAAGTCAGCCATATCAGCAATGTTTTTTTTAAAGGCTGAATGAACTGTTTCGCTGCCAGACAAGGCTCTGCTGATAGCCAGATGTAGCAGTGGTAAGGTATTGGGACTGCTGTTGGGACTCTGCTGTTGGGACAGCTTTATGTAGGCCCTAACAGTTTGTGGGCACTGGTTGTCACCGTTATAGTGCAATTAATGTATTGTTTAGTGTTGTGTTTGTTGGGTACTAACTTTTAAACTTGAAATATCCTTATTCATGTTACCATATTAGAACTGATGGTATGGAAATATACTGAGTGAGAAAGGGGAGTGCAGGGAGTTTACATTTTGCCAGAACATGTTATTGTTAAAATCTCATGTATCCTATGGAGAGGAGAAGGGCCACAGTCTGGTTTCATTCAACAGATAAGGTAGGACAGGTCTGGGTTGGGGAGGAGAGCAATTTGGGCTGGGGTCAGGTCAGATGAAGTGAGAAAGAACAGGCATCACTAAAGTCCTGCCTAGCAACAGAGATGTATTGGCTGTCCAGGGGTGCAAGGAGGGGACTCAGCATAGGAGGAAGGTATAAATATATGTGCTTGTGTAAACATGTCTTGGTCTTTGCAGCTGTTTGACCCATTGGGTGAATAAACTTGGTTTGAGCTTTGACTAGTTGTCCATTAGATACTGACAGAGTGAAAAACTAACATGTGTTGTGTAGTGGCTTTGCTGGCATGCATCTAAAACACATATATATATATATATATATATATTTTTTAGCCCCACAAAGATTTACATGCTAAAATCGCCACTGGTCATGTTTATAAGGGTACGCTGTAGAAAAACATTTTAAAAAGTAAGATGAAAATTAGCATTTCTTATTGGACAAGTCCAGGTAGTAGTCTCTCCCTGTTAGTTAGTTAGTTGTCTTACGTTTGGTACATTTTAGTCATTTAGCAGACGCACTTATCCAGAGCGACTTACAGGAGCAATTAGGGTTAAGTGCCTTGCTCAAGGGCACAGACAGATTTTTCACCTAGTCGGCTCGGGGATTAGAACCAGCGACCTTTCGGTTACTGGCACAACGCTCTTAACCACTAAGCTACCTGCCGCCCCAATGAACACAATCCTGGTTTCATCGAAGTTATCAGTTTAATATCACAGTCACACTAGATTACTGGGTGTATGTCACTGCCTCAGAGGAATGCAGCAGAATTTAAAATGTGCACGTCACGCTTGCTGTCCCAAACATTGTCACATTGCATGGCTTCATGCCATCACCTCTGCTGCTTCCTGTTTGGTCATTTGACCACACACCCCCCATGGCTTATTGATTTCCTGTCCATTTTCCCTGGCTCACTCATTCAAAACAAAACCCAATAATAACAATAACATGGGACAAAATAAAATGTTAACAGTTTTACCCAACACTAGCACGCCAAACACTGTTTGCTAGCAACACAGTGAGTACAGGAAGGAGGGAGTGTCTAATGTCAGTTTCAGTCCAGAGTAAAAGCGATTCTCATCTCCACTCTGATTCTGTTGCATAGCAGAGCTATGAGAGGTTGTTGTTCATGAATACCACAGTACAGCTTGCACTGCCCCCTCCTATTTAGACAGAACATTACTGATAATCAGGGAGAGATAGAGAGATGGGGGCAATTCAATGGTAATGGAATTACGCTGTAAATGTGTTTATTTATTTAATGTGTCAATTGTTCAAAGTAGTCATTGCATAGAGTTGTATGGTTTGTTAAACGTTGAAATGAATGGTTTTTTTTGCCATACATTTTAAAGTGAGTCTCAGCATAATTGCGTTACCGTGGAACTGCTCATGGAGAGATGGAGCGAAAATAGATGGAGGGATGAGAGATGGAGGGACAGTAGTCTCACTCTGCCAGACATGACACCGATTTCCATTCAATAATCAACCTAGAGCGGCTGGAGTCTAGGCTAGAGGGACAGAAATGATTTGCAATTGATCTTGTCTCATTTCTGTCAAGGCTGTCTGAGGGGATAATGTGCTCTCAGATAAAGTACATTAGCAGCCTGTAGACTGAGACCTCCCCCCAGAGGACAAAGATAGGCAGCATAAGAGCATTAGAGTTAGGCTAGTGGGCCTCTCTGGGCAGACACCACTGTAAACCATTAGCCCTTCTCAGTTCTCAGCAGTTAGAGCTTTCAGGCAGCCAAAACTGGACACAGGGCTGCTATGACAACCACTTGCCAGGCCCAAACTATCCAGCCCTCACAGCAGACATTGGCCCAATCGGTTTAGTGCCAGATACACGCTAGGAAGAGTTTGGGGGCAAATAAAAGGGGAAATCAGGATTGTTTTGTTGTTGAGAAAGTAGAAAAACCATGATACATCCTTTATCAATTCAAATTGTATATGCAATGGTTCTACACTGTTTTAGTGTGAGTTTTGAAGCCAGGGTCTCTTTTCTGACCTGAGGGATTCTTGTGATTGGAGTAACTTACACCCACAGAATACAGAACAACTAGCTTGGAATCCAAAATGACATGCTCTGTTTTACAGCTTGAAATCCAGGCTACCAAATAACACGAACAGGTAGAAAAATAGCAATTAGGCATAGGTCTTCCTGTCTCAAACTCATTAGGCCCAGAAAAGACATCAAACCTCTGGCCTGTTATTAATCCGATTGTATCACGAATTGCTATTTATTGTCCAACAGAACAGAGGATAATGCTGCACTGTCTCTGTCTGGTGGAGAGAACGTAGATGGGTATGCCTCCCAAATGGCACCCTATTCCCTATTTAGTGCAGTACTTTTGACCAGACCATAGGACTCTCGTCAAAAGTAGTGCACTATATAGGGAATAGGGTGCCATTTGGGACGCAGACCATGGTCTTCTGTTTCCAGGAATGGAATCCTCCCTTAAATGGTCCCTCTTAGCTCTCTCTGGGTCATAGTCAACCTCAGTCTGCACTACTGCACTATTGATTGTTTAGTATCTTTTGTTAATGTTGTGGTGCCAGTGTGGGAAGGGAACATTGCAGACAAAATCTGACTCCTCGTACAATACAGCCCTGATACCATTTAGAACAAGAGAAACGACTCAGAACAAGACATCTCTAAAAGCAACTGTGGTTGAGGGCAATTTCCACGGTAACGGAATTACGCTTTGACTCAGTTTTTTCACTTTAAAATATATGCCAAACAAAAACCATTGATTTCAAAAGGTTAACATACCATATTACTGCGAAAAGTGCAAATCAATCCCAGAACAACAGCAAAGGACCTTGCGAAGATGCTGGAGGAAACAGGTACAAAAGTATCTATATCCACAGTAAAACAAGTCCTATATCGACATAACCTGAAAGGCCGCTCAGCAAGGAAGAAGCCACTGCTCCAAAACCGCCATAA